GCCTCTACAAAGCCGCCATATACACCAAACCTTGCAGCCCGCACTAACAGAACCGAATAAGACCCTCTTCCTCGAAACCCGAAGCCCTGGACCTGTGCACAGGTCTATGTTGGTGGGCTCCACCTGGTGTTGACCAAGGCGCCCGCTTCATTTTGTCACAAGCCTAGACAGTGAATTTTGTTGCGGGCTAGGCTCTGGGCTCATTGTTCGGATTTTCAGGGTGTAGGGTTTAGAGTAGTTGGTCTTGCTCATGAAAACCCACCATTACTTCCGCACTCGCTCGAAATGCCCTAAACCCTACACCAGGAACACGTTTCAGATCTCGACCATGTAGCCTTTTCAATGATGATGAGTTGCTCTGCACGAGCCGAAAAGTTAGAGCCACACCAAACCCAGGCATCGAGATTCCAGCTCCCGTCTTTGCCCTAAAGAAATCGCATTATAAATGAATTTTAAGGCCCATATATGTCCCATGTTCTATTGCCAGGCCTATTGTAGGCTGCAAGTAAAGATAGGCCATTGTAAAGGCAAGGTGATACATTCCAGATTCCAGGTAGTTTCGAAACTCCGAGTTTACCAGGACTGTTGGTTTTTATCATGCGACCAACCAACCGAATGCTAGTGCAAAAACCGTCGGCATTAATATGTATGTACTGCTATTACTGTGTTCAACAGTGCTGCTAGGTGCTCTTCTCGAGATCCCTCAGCCTCCGAACTAGACTGATGCAGTACTCATAGGCTCCATAGTAGTTCCTTTTTTGGGATTGCCTTCTTGGAGTCTTAGTATGAACCCCCAAAAGGGACTACTAAGGGGCCTATGGGTACTCTCATCTGTGTCGGTACTCTGAGGCGAAGCCTAAAATCCTCAGAGCCATTGTCAAGCCCGTGTACAGCCCGCGAAAGTTTCTTTCTGGCATACCCTGAATTTTCAATTCGACAATCACCAGACTACAGAAACCGTTTAACACCGTTTCTATGCAGCCCTTCCGAATTCAACTGTCACGGACTCCCGGCATACTCTCGTCTCACTTGATGCCGTCGCAGACCTCTTTGGGTGGAAACTCCCCGGAGTCTCTTGGAGCAGCTTAGGAGTTGCGTGTTTAAGGCTTAGGGGCTGAAGGGGCTTAGGCTTTAGGGTTTCATGGTCGTAGACTTGCTTGACTTGAGTTCAGTAGCAAAGCTGGGAATAAGGGGGTTTTGAAGGTTCAGGGCTTCAGGGTTTAGCTTTGTACATCACATCGCTGCCAGACCCTTCACTGTGGGCGAAAGCGGACATATGGTATCAAATAAAGGAATTCTGCATTTTCGGGGCAAGCAGGGTTGAGGGTTCACGATCTTCAGGGTTGTCGCTTGGGCCTAAAGGCAACAGTGCCACTTTGTGTGAGTGTGTGTGTGTGTGTGCGAAAAGGGCTGCGACCGAGACCTTGATTGACTGCCCGTTGGATCTTGAAACTTAGCCTACACCTCTGAAACTGCTTTAGCCTGCTTGTGCTGTGGGTTCATATTCAGATCCTACCGAAATATTGTTATGGTGGCCGAAGGTCATCAAGCGACAAACATCATGCACCGCACATGCGACTTGACCAAGTCTTCACTCGTTTTTCACATTTCCCAGAGTCCGAGCCGGAAAGTATGTCACACCCAACCCTGCCCCCAGGGCCCAAGTGTGCCAAAGTCAGTACTCATATATGTTTCAGTCCCAGTATTGCCGCACAAGTAGTCATTTCCGGTGGTAGTATTTTGGGCCTTGATGATGTATAGGGTCTAGGTTTGGATGTCACTGTAAGTCCCATCATCCCAACACTCGGCTGAAGTTCCAGTTTGTAAGTTTGCTGCTGAGGTCCCCAGATGTGGCAGCAACTGCCACAGGAGCTTCGACCTGTGATGATTAGGGTTTAAGGCCTATGGGATTAGGCCGTGATGGGTTTGGGCTGATGTGTGAGTTGCCGGGGATAGCGGGACTAATTACCAATATGCAACTTGTGTTTAGTATCATGCGCCCCCCCAAAATCGTGGTCTTAGCAAGGCCCTTGTATCGCGGATGGAGGCTTTCAGGTTCGAGGCTCCGAAAAGGGTTTCCGGCATGCTGCCGGATTTTCGGTTGAGGGCACTGACCTCCTGCAATGTAACAGATTGCAACACCACACCTCCTGATGTCTACAAAGTTTGTCCAGTATTTTTTCGAATCGTGAGAACATCCAAACCACAATACCCGTAAGTTGGACCTGGCATCCGCAAGCCTCAACCTCAAGTTGGCAAGCCCTTAAGTTAAAGCCCTAAAGCCGTAACCCTGGACTCTAAAATTCCGCAGATACTCCAGCCTAGACTTTGCAGACGCTAAACCCTTACGTAAATCGAAGCAGCCTTTTGGTTACATGTCCTGTGTGGCGCACATGTTACCACAAACCCTCCGCCTCCTGGGCGATGATGCCATGGTTAGAGAATTTGGATCCCTTAGAATGAACAGCAGGCTGTCGGCAAAGGGCTGCCGGATAAGCCCGGCTCCCTATACAACATTACGACAAAGACCTTACAAAGCCTTTGCACAAACACCCTTTTTACCATGATCACAGCATGGGAGGAAGCTTCTTTGCGCCAGATCAGGGTGTGGACGAGGTTTCGTGGGCGCATTAAGAGTCTTCGAGTTGGCGTTGCGTCGCGGCATGCAGTTTGGGGTTAGGGCCGTTTAGGGTGTATAGGTTCCAGGGTTTACCCTGAAGACGAAGCCCGAGACCATAGCGTGCAGCACCGACGTTCTCTCAGCTTGACAAAGCTCTAGAGCTACCCTGAAAAAAATAGTTACTTCTTTGGGGATGGCACATCAAGCGCATCGCATGTCTTCGTGTCTGCCTGTGCTTTACTTCAATCTGCGGCCATGCCGACAGTGGCACGTGTATTCGGTTTTCTGAGCAGACACGTAACTTAGATGCAGCCCTGCAAGTTGAGGTTACCGGTTGAGCCCGAGTAAGGTGAGCAGCGGCATAGCTTCGGGCTTTATGTGTGACGGACCAGACTCCCAGGAAGGGGACTCAATTCATGGCTCCAAAAGACTCAATAGATGTGCCCCGGGGTTCTGAACATTCTGTTGGCGTTGCAGGCACAGAACAATGCTTTCAAGAATGACACGTAGCAGAAAAGCCTTCAAGACAAACATAAGCCCTACAAGCCCTCACCATGGCCTGTGCAGCGTGCTCGAGATGGGCCAGCGCTGTTCCCTTGCGCAGTTCTGACTGACCTCCCTTCGCTTGATCCGATGCCCCAAAGTCCCCCAAAGCCCGAGCCCTATCAGCTCTACTGTAAGCCCTAAACCACACGTATATATACACATACATGTTGGCATAGCAGTCTATAGTCCATATCCCGCGAAGCCCTTTATACCAAAAAGTCTATATCCCTACGCCCGAAACCTACACTGTTTAGCTATATCCCTAAACCGCCGAGCTCGCTGAAGACCTCTGGCAAGAAGTGTGTTCGAAGGTGCGGAGGTTAGAATCGAACCCGCCGCAGGGCCGGCGTGGGCCTTGGCTGGCTCGACTTTCGGAGTTTACCAGGGTTTACCTTAATCCGGAATAACCTACCTTTTTAAGGACTTATAACTTATATAAGGAAATCATAATAGGGAACCCTAAAAATGTAGGTTTTTCAGGGTTAAGGTAGGGTTTAGTCTTTCGCTCCCAGTTCCGAAATCGCACAACCAGCATCCATCGACTCTTCTTGCCGTGTAGGAGATAGCGCTATATCCGGTCATGCAGGGTTCTTGCTTTTGCAAGCTTGCCCAACAGTCATTGCTGCAAGTTGTAGGGGGCTGCACAAGCCCTTCCATTGCCCGGGCAGGGGCTACCAGAGCTTTGGTGTCAATGTGCCAGCTGAACGAAACAGACACAAGGAATGGATGCGGTTGGATTAGTTAGAAAAATGAAATGCATATGAACCCTCAAGTTTAATGTGACCGGGGGGGAGGTGTTTAAGCAACGCCATACTTGAGACGTTTTACACCCGAGAGGGCGACATCGCTGGAAACATCTTAGACCCTAGCTCCTTAACTTAACTCTAAACCTGTATAGACTCTCCCTCCTACGCCTTAGCCCAAATCAGTTTGGATGTTGCGAGCCTATATGGAAGCGGCTTTGGCAGTCGGACCTGCGCATCCATCGTTTCTGCACTGGTGATGGAGCACCCGAAGCTCCTTCTTAAGCCCTTCGGGACCTGCACGTTGAGAGTTTACACGAGTCATGTAGTGGAAAGATTTGGGGTTTGTAGGGTCCAGGTAGACCGTAATTCTCAACACTGCAAGGCCGAACCCTGATTTTTGTGGATTACCTTATCGAATTCTAATTATGGACCCCGAAAAGGAACTATGATGGAGTCCCATACTTCCTCCCCATGGGACTTTCTTTCATGTCCAGAGTCTCAAGCACATGATGGTAAAGGGAACTCCAGAAAGTTGGAATATGGCTTCAGGGTAGGATACCTTATAATTTACTGCCATAAAGGGTCTAGGATAATCATATTCCAACTTTCTGGCTTTTACTTTATCAGCCCTTGGCGCCATAAGTCGGGAATTGCGGACGCCCGCAACCCGCCAAAGCCAAAAGCTCTCGAATGAAGCACTTGGACCCTGGAGCCAAGAAAACTACACCTGAACGCACTTAAGCCCTAGTCCCTAGACCCCATTATCGAACATGTTGGGGGTCCCTGAAGCAGTTGGGACCTTGGCAGAACCGCCAAGTTCGCCCCGACCCCCAAACAGACACCCTTAGCAGCGAGGATGGTCTGTCGATATACAGCCAACCGGTAACGTTTAGGACTGAACTTTTACCTGGAGCCACAAAGCATACGAAATGTAGGTTATGATCCCGACATTGTTATCGGGGATAAACCGTCAATGAGTAGAGGTTATGGGATGAGTTTTGGATTTTCAGGTTTAGGGCATTTATGGGTCTTAGCCCCTGAATCCTTACACGCCTCCCTAGTGCACAAGTCATAGATGAAGCGAGCAAATGGCGAATGCCTCAGCGGATGCCGGCAGAGGGACGCTACTGCTGGTAGAAGATCTGCGGCTCCGCCACACCTATTGCAGGGTTTAGGGGTGAAGAGCTCAGGGTTTACGGTTTGGGGTGTGATGATGGGCCTAGGCAGTAGACTTGAAGTTTGATTTGGGGGTTTGAAGGTATGCGTGAAGGTTTGCTTACACACATGAGGAGTGGTTGTACTAGTAATTTCTAGGTGTAGAGGGTCGGCGACAGCTGTTGTTCGGGGTTTCGTAGCTTTCTTGTTGCCGGTGCTTGTCGTCTTTAGTTATTCTACGCAGGTGTTGCTGTGATACCTGCTTGTGCTGACAAGTTTCGGGTTTAGGGGTTCAGCGGGTTCAGGGTTTCGGGTTTTGGCACATCACCATAACTATGCCAGTCACTGCCAGTCATGCCAGACCGTGAGCTTGCACTTGTATACGTTCTGGGGGTGTCATTGGGGTTTTTCGTTTTGTACTATCGTTTGCAGATTGGGCACTTCGCTGCCGCTCTCTGTCTCTGATCATAAAGGGTTCTAGACACGATCTACAAGGGATAGTAGGTGAGGCCTTGGATACTCTCCAAAGTCAGATCAACAACAACAACGCAGAGTTAGATGGGCCGAGAAACATCACCGAAAATGCAACTTAAATCCAGGAACCGTTATTGCCATCATCACCGTCATTGCTATTGTCAGCATGGCATAGCATGACTAGAGTTACTGTCGCCTGTTAGTTTTCGTGCGATACCGTTAACCTACTTCGTCGACGTCGGGGACTGAGTCAAGTGCTGTTCCACATTCTCGGGTGTGCGTACAGGAAAAACCTGGAACTCTCTCGACGCTCAAGGTCAGCTGTCTCTACATGCCCTAACCCTGAAAGGCACTACATCCCTTAACCAGGACTCGCCGCACAACTGCGAGCCCAAGCCTCAAGATAGGCCTCTGGGTGTCAAGCTACCATACCCGAAAATACCTGGCGAAGCATAGGACAGTAGTCGAGGATAAACAGGGCTTTCGTTTCTCTTTGTGTTTAACCTTACAGCTTTTGCTTACGCCCTTAAGAGAGCACGAAGATAGTTGAAAAACGACGGACCTGAGGCTGGCTTTGGCTTCTTTGGGCGCTTTGCCGTCACGAAGCTTCGTCAACTTATACCATGTATGGGGTCCCTGAAACCCCTGAAGCATACGGGGCTTTCGGGTTTAGGGTTTAGGGTCAGCGACAGGGCTGTTGCTGTAACCGGGCTGCTGGACAACGAGGCCTGCTGCAAAAAGGGTCAGCGACAGGGCGCCGTGAAGGAGGTACAGTAGGTAGGGTTGAGAAGAGGGATCATGTTGTGATAAATGATGCCGTCGTGTATTTTTCTGAACTGGTGAAGGAGCCATGCGCGTTTGGGTCTTATACTGACAGTACCCTAAGTTCTGAACACTAGTAGACTAGGGCTTCGGGCATGGGTTTTAGCTGATCGGCAGAGTCTGGGTTCAACAAAGGTCCCTTTGCGGAGACCCGAGATTCCGGAAATCTATCTGCAGGCTCTAGGGTCTCCTTCATACTGGGACCGAGGGCTCTTCCAAGACAAGTTCCAACTCATGACCTTTGAAACATTCTAACACCCTAAACCCTAAACTAGGCGAGTGTGAGCGCCGAAACCTTAAACTAGGATGAAATCGCACAGCAAGCTTGTCTCGTGGCAGGTCCACACTGCCAGACTCCATACCCCGTAAAGACAGCCTTGCAATTGGCTTCCGGTCAACTCTAAACCTTCAACCAGATGCACCCTAAATCCTACACCGAAGCCCCCGCCCTGAACCATAACTGGTCTAAAGCTTACCTAAACCCCTGAAAAGTACCTTGTAGCTAAGATAATGGCGCAGCATCCATAAAACAAATTCTGGGGTCCAGGTATTCCGGAAGCTTGAACCCCTAACTTTTTGAGCCCAAACCCCAACCCTGACCCATAACTGGTCTAAAGCTTAAACTCCAGGGTTCCTAAAACCCCGCGTTCAATGTTTGGAGCTCCACGAGCTTTCGAGGACCGCCGAGCATCTTCGTCGTTCTCGTGGTGGCACTGGCAGCGCGGCTGCAAAGTGCAGAGTTGGGCTTTCAGAATCTTTCAGGGTTTAGGGCATTATAGGGTCTTTTAGGGGCTCTGAATATTAGCGTATCAGGGCTTTCAGGATCGTTTCGGGTTTTGGGTATTATAGGGTCTTTTAGGGGCTCTGGAAGGGCTTCGGGCTCAGGTTTAGAAGTTGGGAGTTTCGGAAAATAGGGGACCCTACATAATACAGTATCCTAAATAGTAGGATCCTTATTATAAGCACCCTTAAAAAAGGTACTTCGGAAACTCTCATTTGGGTTTATATAGGTTTAGGGTTTTAGCTGAGGCTCACGGGTATGTTTCTGTCGTCAAGAAGCAGCGGGCATTTTGACCACATAGTGTGGTTCTCCTCAATGTTCGGTTGGGATCTGCACGGACCGATCTTGTCGCTTTGCCGGGTCAAGTGGCGATGGGAAGTGGGTAGGCTTACTACCGACCAGTATCCCGACCAGCAAACCCAAGTGCACCCACACCAGACTTACCAATGATCCCCATGTACACCCGCAGCAATCCGGACACAAAGCCTACCTTCATAGTAACCCTATACCGCCTCTCCCTTTGATATGGGCGCCAAAGGGCTGTGTCACTCTCTCTGTCTCTTTCTTTGTGTCTCTCTCCCTCTCTCCTTTTCCCCGTGTCTCTCTGCCTGTCTGTGTGTCTGTTTGTCTGTCTATCCGTCCGTCTGTTTGTCTGCATGGACGTTTGCCTCCGCCCTCCTCAGCGACAATGAGCCTTCAACCCCAAACCCCACACCCTGGAAGCCGTAGTCCCTACCCGCGCACTTTAAGCACCCGAGCATATTGAGACATCAGGCCGTCGCAACACTGCGGAGTACCGGGCACTGCCAAAGAGGAGGCCGTGGAGGCTTATTGAGCCTCGGCCTTTGAACCACTGTTTGTATACTGATAGGCATTTGAGGGTTTGATTTGGCCGGAACCCTCCAAAGTTCATTCTATCGTCGGCTACCTTCTTCGGCTAATTGAATCACCCTAAACACTGAACACCCCTAAACCCTAAACATCCCTAAACCTACAGCCTACCCTAAGGCCCCATAGTAGTTCCTTTTTGGGATTACCGTATAGGATTCTATATATGAACTCCAAAAAGGAACTACTTTGGGGCCTTAGGGTAGCTTCAAAGGTTTGCCGGGCTCCTTGGACCGATCCTGGCGGCAGGCTACAGCGATGACTCTGTGCCTTCGTCTGCCGGCATTCGCGGTTGAAATAAAGGCTGCGAGGTTGGCTTCGAAGGGTGCAAGGGTTTGTGGTGTTTGAGACAGCTTTGAGATTGGGATTTAGGGTTTAGGTTTCGGGAATGTTTCGGGTATGCTTGCATAGTGCCTTCGTGCAGTGTTACGAGATCCTGTTGCGAAGTTTTACTCGGACCTGTTGCGAAGTGTTGCCTTTGCCTGCCTCGTGAGTCGAAGATGCTTTTGCACTGGCCCAGGAAAACTTTGAAGCTGTTCAGGTAGCTTTCGCAGAGGCCTTATGTTGTTTGAAGAGTGGCACTTGGGAGTTTCCGAAAATAGGGGTACCTTATTTTGGGGACCTTATAAAACAAGATCCTACAATTTAGGGTACTATATTGGGGTCCCCTATTTTCGGAAAGTCCCACTTGGGCAGCAGTAAATGGTGTTGGAGGTTCTGGAGCGCCGAAAGCAGAGCCGTGCAGGCACCCAACATCCAGAAGTCGCCACAACAGGCTTGAGGCTAACCCCAAACTGACGGTCAGGGTTGGCTCGGCAGGGGTGTAAGGTGAACTGCGTAACCAGCCTCAAATTGCATCAGGAAGACTTGTTAGGTCCACATTAAATATTCCTTGGCCACCCCGCGCGAACTCCCAGTTGTTAGATTAATTTCAGCGTCCGAGTCTGTTTTACCAAACAGAACTGAAACCCTCACTAGGGTACTCGCATGAGGGATTCCTGCATGAGCCCGACATGTTGCCACTACCCATATATATATATATATATATATATATATATATATCTCGCATAGTAACACCCGGACCATGCAGGTCCCTAGGAGACCATGGCGTTCAGGAGCGAGAATTATCAGATGTGCACAGGTGGGTCTCGCAAGACATATTTTGGCAGCAGCATTTGGCCGGGCAAATTAGCGTCTGAGTTCCTTCATTAGTTCGAGCCAGGCCTTGAAACAGAGTCCTTGACCTCAGGTTTGGTTGCTGGGCTGTGCTGCCGATCCGGTGTTGTGGAGTCTGGCATCCGTCGAGGCCTTGCATCTCGGCGTTGGGAAGTGAGTTTTTGCTGCCACACGGGCAGTGTTCCCAGACCCTGCCCTGGCACTGCAGTACCCAGCAAGTATGGTTATCTTTCGTTCATGAGGAAACCATGACACCCCAGCCGAAGTACATTAAAGGATTAGTGTAGACCTTTGCAAGATCTCCTGGAAAACCGGCTCTATGACAGTTCTAGGATCCCTGTATTATCCCACATTCATGAATGCTATACTGACTTTACCATCATATATTGCAGCAATATACGCTTTTATGCTATTATGAAATGTACTGCGCTGTCTTTGTTGCAATTTGAGGCCAGGGCCAATTCTGGAGCAAGCCACATGCTAGCTACAAGGGCAGTGCCGTAAACTCCCGGAAAGCTAGAGGACGAAGTCATGGCAATGAATGCACTGAATGGAGGTGGAATCTGGAGATCCACTTGTGGACCATAGAAACTTGCAAAACGGCACCCCAGTGCCGGGTTCTAGTTGTCCAGGCACTTAGATTACCGAAGCAATGCAGCAGAGGCGGTTAGCAGCAGGTACTCCTCAATTCCTTGCGCGCGATCCCTGATAGCTGCAAACCCTAACGTAGCATGCACAAAGCCATGTTACACCATTCCTGTCTGGGCTTGGAGATCAGTTTTAAGCACGGTGCACCTAGACCATGGATTGTCGCAATGACCTGATCTGGAGTTCGTAGTTTAGGGAATCCCAAACGAGGAACTACGTTTCAGAGCTCAGCTAGGGCTTAGATAAGAGCGCCCGAATGAGGATCTGAAGATTTTCGCAATTGTTAAGTTAGGCGCCTAAGCCATCACCCACCTCAAGCTCAGGATATCAGTTGCGATAGCGAAAACGCCCAGCTGGCTTACCCTCTCGGGCTTTTGGGCGGCAGTAGTTTCGAGGATTCAGTGCGGTCCTAGATCTACCCAAACATTGCACAGTTAGTGTTTGGAAGTGCCTGCGATCTCGAGGACGCCAACTGAGACAGTTTCGTGAACATCAGCATGCATGGTTCTAGATTTATGCACCTTCTGTAGGATTTCGCAACCTGCGAAAAAAGCATTGGTGGATCGGGTCTACTTCGTAGTCACGTGTCGTAGAAAGCACTGAACCGTTCTGTGCATTACAGGCATTGGGCTCCGGCTGTAGATCCCGACGTGCTTCAGCTTTTCGCCATTTTGTGGGGAGCTGATATTCAAGGCTTTTCGTCTCCATCAGCAGGTGCCATCATTGTGGCAAAGGGTGCTTCTTTGCCGCTGGCGCCCGCAACCGCCTTTCTTTCGGCGCCGCCGCGGCATTGTTTGGCGGTTGGGATTCAGGGCTCCACTCGAATGGACAACTTGAGCACTTGAGCCCAGGGAGACGCGGTATCATGTCGTCAACATACCACCACGAGTCGGAGACTATAAGGGAATGTTAGCAGTTTGGGTTGCCTTGGTTGCAACTAACACGCTGTTACTGACTATTTTCATCATAGCCTACCAGGCCGACCAAGCTTCCAGTGTAGGACATGTGCCTCACATTGCTGAGGGAAGATGTATCCAGAAGCCACACATGGGCAGTTCCGGTCATACATCAAACCTAAGAAATCCTGCATTTGACTGCTTGCTTTTGGATGACCCGGGGTAGACCCTAATCTAAAATCCTGCCCAATCCTTTAGATCCAGTATGCGAAACGTTGAACAGAAAGTTCGAAGGCATCCAAAGAGGGAGAGCAGGTAAAGCTGGTGCCAATATCATTGACCCTTTGCACCGAACCAGAACCACAGGGTTTAGATCCACAGGGCTTGTTCGACAGAGTTGGCTTTTAAAAACTTTTACAGACTTTTAAAAACTTTAAAATGCAAGAAAAAACATTCTAAACACTTTTAAAAACTTTAAAAGACTTTTAGAAACTTTAGAAGACTTTAACAAACTTCAAAAGACTTTTCAAAAAAATAAAAGGCTTTTAAAATATTTAAAAGACTTTTAAAAACTTTCAAAGACATTTAAAAAGCTTTAAAAGACTTTAAAAGACTTTTAAAAGCTTTTAAAAACTTTTACAAACTTTAAAAGACTTTGAAAGACTTTAAAAAACTTTTAAAATTGTTAAAAAACTTTAAAACACAAAAAACTATTTTTTCTACATTTTTACGGTTTTTTCCAAGAAGACGAGGATGAAGAAGATCTGGCACAGGGTTTTAAGTTTCAGGGTCTTTAGGGTTTGGGGTTAGAAGGCAGAGTGCCATAGTATAAGGGGTTTGAGGGTATTGAAAGGGTTAGGGTTAGAGCTTCAGGGTTTTAGGGTGTAGGGGTAGAAGGCAGAGTGCCATGGTATATGGTTGAAGGCTAATGGCTGAAAGGCAAAGTCCCAAAGTCTTCAACATGAATGGGCTTCAGTTTTGGTAGTTATCTTGGAATGATCGTGGCTTGGCTTCGGGCTTTTGGTCGTGCCCAAACCCCCGCTCAACAGCTCCAGGTACTCCCACACCCTCGTACTGTACCACTACTGTACAACTACTTTAATACTACTGTACTACCACTTTACTACTACCCTCTTACAAGTATACTTCTGTACTGCTATCGCACCGCTACTGTACTACGACGGTACTACTTTTGTACTACTGTACTACTACTGTGCTAGTACTTGTACTACTACTGCACGACACACCACTGCACCGCACCAGGCCTCAGACGTGGTCGATTGTGGAGGGGAGTGTAGGTTGGAGGCAAAAGTCTTCAGAGTGAAAGGTTTGCAGTTTTGGTAGTTCTCGTTGAGTGACCGTGTCTTGGCTTCGACTTTTGGTCGTCCCCAAACCTCGCTAGACAGCTCCAAGTACCCCTAAACACTGCACTGTATCTACTACTGTACGACTGTCGTACTACAGTACTACTATTGTACTACTCTACCCTGTTGTACTACTACTGTACCGTACCAGGCCTCAGACATAGTCGATTGTGAAAGGGAGTGTAGGTTGGAGGCACAAGTCTTCAAAATGAAAGGTTTTCAGTGTTGATAGTATCTTGGAGTGATCGGGGCTTTTGGTTTCCAGCCTTTGGTGATCCCCCCAAACCGTTAAACAGCTCCAAGTACACTTAAAAACCTCGTACCGTGTTACTACTGTACTACTACTGCATTACTACTGTACCATTACATGCATTACTACTGGACGATTACATGTACTCACCTGTGCATCATCGAGCTTCTTCTTGTATCTCTGCTACCTGTGATGTGGCGGCCGTTTAATAGCCACCCCCCCTCGACCAAAGGTTCTTGGTTTGAATAGTCTGGTGTCCGTGACCCCCTGGACCGGGGTTCGGCTGGCTGAGGGTCTGAATGGCTTTGGGTAAGTTAGAAGGGAAATGGGGGGTCGCATGGTCGGTTTGAAACCTGCGCGAACGCCGCAATCGGGGGGCTTGGGGATCACCAAAAACTTGAAAACAAGCCCCGATAACACTGCAAACCTTTCATGTTGAAGACTTTTGCCTCCAACCTAACCACCCCCACGATCGACCAAGTTTGAGGCCTGGTACGGTACAGTGGCGTGTAGTACAGAGTACAGTAGTACAGTAGCATAGTAGTACATTGGTGCAATGGTAGTACAGTAGTAGCACAGTACAAGCACAGTAGTGTGTTTCATCGACTCAAGCAGGGAGCGCCCCTGTAAACTTTGCTTTGTGTGGGTGCTTTGACTTTGCTCTTTAAAGGTTTTGCTGTTTGCTGTCATATCTGGTATCTATATGTGCTTATAGGGTCATGGCTTTGAGTTTGGCGCGGGGGCGAGGCTGGCCTGGGAGGTGGGCTGATAAGGCGCAAGGGCGAGGGCTGGGGACCGGGCTCGGGACTTCATAATTTTTGAAGACGAATTAAGATTTAATGAGATTTATAGTTAGATGTAGCAATATTTTATTTGGGTTGTTTTCCTTTCTAACACTGACAAGATTTTATGTAATCTCCTTGCAAAGGGAATCTCGATCTATCTATCCAAGAAATATGCTTCCACGGGGGGTTCAAGGGGGGGTATCCCCCCCTTTCCCCCGGTGGGGGGCTTGGGGGGAAGGGGGGGAGCTCGAGGGGGGCAAGCCCTCGATCCAGGGGGTGCGGGGGGCGGGAGCCCCCCGCGAAACGGTGGCGAATATTTGAGATTTTCCAAGGAACAAGTTATAAATTCGCAACAAGCCAAAACCACAAAGTTTGGATCAACAGGGCTGAGCAATAAGATTCAATAAGATTCAATAAGATTCAATAAGATTCAATAAGATTTAATAAGATTCAATAAGATAAGATTCAATAAGATTTTTCCGGGGCGTGCCACAATTGTACAAATGTCTTCTAAGATTCAATAAGATTCAATAAGATTTTTTGGGGCGGTCTGGAGTCGTGTCCCTTTTAAAAATGATGAACCAATAAGATTCAATAAGATTCAATAAGATTCAATAAGATTCAATAAGATTCAATAAGATTTAATAAGATTCAATAAGATTCAATAAGATTCAATAAGATTCAATAAGATTTAATAAGATTTAATAAGATTTTTCCGGGGCGTGCCACAAGTGCCACAAATGTCTTCTAAGATTTTGCCGGGCCGATCTTCCGGAAAAGGCTTCATGATAAAATGCTGCTGGGGCTGGGGCTGCTGGGCCTGCTGGGCCTGCGGCTGGGGCTGCTGGGCGGGCGGTTCGGGCTGGGTGAAGGCAGGGAGAAAAGGGGTTGGGGGAGGGTGTAGTGAAGGAGAGGAGGGCCCCCCACCCGCCAGTCCCCCAGCCCACGCCCAGCCTTCCCTGCGAGCCGCGACCGAGCAGAAAGCCTGTAAATACCGCGTTAAAACAACGGCCAGGGATCCCACACATCTGCGGGCAAAATCTGGCGGAAGTGATCCGCCACCGAGCAAAAAGCCTGTAAATACCGCATTAAACAAAGGGCCAGGGATTTCACACATCTGTTGGCAAAATCACGCGGAAGTGATTTTGCCAACAGATGTGTGAAATCCCTGGCCCTTTGTTTAATGCGGTATTTACAGGCTTTTTGCTCGGTGGCGGATCACTTCCGCCAGATTTTGCCCGCAGATGTGTGGGATCCCTGGCCGTTGTTTTAACGCGGTATTTACAGGCTTTCTGCTCGGTGGCGGCTCACTTCCGCCAGATTTTGCCAACAGATGCGGTGGTGGGCTGGGGTTGGGGGCTGGGGCCCGCAAGGGGTGTCCGATTAGGTTTTGAAGAATCGCGGATCCCAAAATCACGGATCGCAAAGAGTGTCTCCCTGCAGGTTGTATTAAAAAATAGGTTCCCAAATCATGAACCGCAAGGGCTCCCCCTACGGCTGTCCAAAAACTCGCAGCTCGCAAGGGGTGTCCGGTGCCTGTCCCCAAACCAAAATCATCAAATCGCAATGGGTGTCCCCCGAAAGTAGGGGGTGGGTCGGGTGGGGGGGGGTCGGCTGGGGTGGGGGTGGGCTGGCTGGGCTGACGATGCGGCATCTTGGAATTGGGCTGGGCTGGGGGCGGATGGCCGGTCCCCGGCTCAATCACCCCAGTGTGGATTGCTTTTCCCTTTTCCTAAATTTGGGCTCTCCTTTTTTGAAAAAAACATTACCGAAACAAACTTGACCAGACTGAGCCAGGTTTTCTATATCTTGTTTTGCTTCCAAGCAGGAGGCGACGTTGTGATTCGCTTTTTTGTGAAGAAGTTTTGAGCCAAGACACACAACAACAGACTTGCACAAAACAGTCACCAAGCAAACACAAACAAGTAGCAACATGCCAAACGCATGCGAATACTGAAATTGACTAATAGCATCACACCACTAATACAGGTTAATGTGGGGGTCCTTCTGGTCCGGTGTGCCTAGTTGATGCGTGTTTCCCGTGCTTATTCGGGCTGTATCAAAAAAATGGTGGCCTAATTAATGATTAGTGCGTTCTTTGTTGGGCCGACTGATTTTATGTATTTCTCTTCTACGACTGTCCTACTACTGTACTATTGCAATACTAATGCACTGCTGTACAGGAGTGTAGGCCGGACGAAAAAGTTCTCAACATAAAAGGTTTTAGTGTTGGTATCTTGGAGTGATCGTGGTTTGGACTTTGGTCGTGCCCACACCCTGCTAAACAGCTCCAGGTACTCCCACACCCTTGTAATGTACCCCTACTGTACTACCACTTTACTACTACCCTCTTACTACTGTACTTCTGTATTGCTATTGCACTGCTACTGTACTACTAAATATGGTACTACTCTTGTACTACTGCATTACTACTGTGCTATTACTTGTACTACTACTGTACGACACACCACTGCACCGCTCGAATCCATGTGGGGAAGGTCGGCATTTCAAGGAAACCCTAAACCCTTAGACTCGATCACAACCCCCAACTTAAATTGATAAACTACTTTAAAAACAAATACAAACAAATTTGTAGACGTAGAACAGCAGGAAGCCAGGTTGAACAGCAGGATGCCATTTATCATTTGACTCAATCACAACCAAAAATATTTATATTGATGAAATAAGCACTTCAAAAACAAATAAAAAATTGTAGACGTACAGCTGCAGGAAACCAGGTAGAACAACAGGAAGCCATTTGACTCAATCAGAAACAAAAACTCATAATTCACAAACATGTATTTTTTTACACCAAAAATAAAATTAAAAAAATTTAACAACTGTAAAACACAAAAAACATATTTAAAAAACTTTTAAATACAAAACACCACTTTTAAATGCAAGAAAACACTTTTAAACACAAATAAAGCCAACCACATACAAAAATAAGATTTTGGGTTCCTTTCATATAAGCCTTGTTGATCTAAACCCTGTGGTTCTGGTTCGGCGCAAAGGGTTAAGGACAATAGCGGCCTTCCAGGCCTAAGCATAAGGATTACGTGCGGGAGGTGCAGAGAAACAAAAACTCCCAATAGTAGACTAACAAGCCGGATCCTCATTACACAGATCACTAAACGCATCTCGGTTTCAACAAACTGTTCGTTTGCAGCATTTGAAGCTTGTTCGTCCCCTTGGAATTACACAACCCCAAGTGCTATTCCTACCCCTGCATAGGATCCCTAAACCCGAAAATTCTGACAGCTTCCACCCAGGTGCAGCATTTGATTATGTCCTTCTGCCTGGATGAGGTGCTCGGAGTAGTGTTGGGAAAGTGTGGAACCGAGCCCTCATATACCGTATGTAGATCTTCAAGGCTTACAGGGGCATTCCGGGGTTCAATACTACCATAGCGCGAAGGCATCTTCTCAGTTTTAGGGTTTGAGGGGCGAATTCAGGGTCTTAGGATTCAGGAAGCTGTATCCAGGCTTTGCGTGTAGTCCCCAACCCGAGCCAGAACCACCGTTGTTGTTTTTCCCACTTGGCGTCGAACTTCTGGGGTGGAGTGCAAGAGTGTGGCGTGCACCGCTCAGAAGAAGGATGTAATGGGGGAAATCCATGTTGGCGAACGGCGGGATTTACGAGTGTAAATTATGTAAGGCTAGAGGAAAACAGTGGAGCTGATAGAACCCTAAACTCTGTTAACGCCGTTCTTGGTGTGTTTCAATCGTAGAGTCGTAGAGCCTGAAACTTTACAAGAAGCCCCGTCCCTGAAGAATGAGCGTTCTTATGAACATCTGGAACCCAGGAAATCCTAAGCCCGAACCCAGCATGCAAACGGAAGGGAACGAAACCCATGTTTGCAGGACTGGGGATGTTGCCTGACCCTCGCAGAGAAGCTGCTCTGGTCGCAGGCAGCAAGCAGGGCCTTGGCCGTCCTATAGTTTCTCAGAGAGTACTAGTAAACCTCATGAGACCAGCGAGAGCGTAAACTCCTCACAGAACTTTCTCGAAGCTAGTGGGATGCATGACGACTTCGGGTCTGTGAGATCCAGCTATAGGCCTTTGTGGTTTCGGATGTTCGGGCTTTTCGGCTTAAGATGATTCCCAAGTCTGTGCGGTTTAGGGTCCGCGAGTGTGGGGTCTATATAATAGACTTGCCGTTTACAGAGTTTATACCCTTTTGCTGTAGACTTCAAAGTCAAGGTGTGAGATGTTGTGCTGTAGGAGGTTGCGATCTTTGGGCTGTCGACTCCAAACTTCCCTGCACTCGAACAGGGCGCCGGCTTTCTCTGCGCCGTGCTGTCAGAGGCACTTCTCTCTGGGATTTCCCTGTTTGGCGGAATGCTTTGGCTTTAAACCCGAAACCCTTTGAATCCTGATCTCCAGACCTTATGAGCCTGAACCATGCGGAAGTGGTGGGCTTCTTGATCAAAGCTTCGCGTGCTTCAGGGTATCAGGGGTTTAAGTAGTAGAGAGGTTCCGGGTTGCGGGTTTAGTGATAAGGGCCTCATTGGGCAGGCTGTCGGCTTTCTTGCACTTGCTTCTTCAGGCTACAGTGTTACATAGACCCTTAACTAGCTCTCCGTAACTCAACAACCTATAGGGCTCCAATCAATCTTAGACTGGTTTACTAGTAGGGTTAAGGGTTTAGGGTTTAGACTACGTTGCAAAAAATTGGTGCAGTGTCAATGTGAGCAGCAACCTGGCAACTATTTCGGAAACGGGAGCCCTATAGGTAATGGCAGCCGTCGAATTCTGCGGGATTGGCACTGAGTATCCCGAGTGTTGAAGGCGTCATGGTTGGCCCAGTAGTACAGTTGATGATACAAATCCTGCATGACCCAGAATACGGACTATACTATAGTTCCCATAGTTTAGGGCCCTTAAGGTAATGCAGGATTTTTATCATCAACAGTAGGAGAAAAAAGCCATCTTCCAGCCTTTGGAGTGACTACTTGGCGGAAGCCTTTACGAGCTTCGGGCGCACAGAGGTTTACGAAGGGAGTTAAGTTTCTCTACCAGGGGTGGGGGGTCCCTTAAGGCCGGGTTCAAAAGAGAGCGCGGACTGCCCAATCCAAACCCGACCCGACATTCAGCTTGAGGCCATGCAGACTCGCTTTCATGGCTGGCCACCCCTCCTTGTGCCACTCGGTGTCGAAGCTATCCGATTCTGACGCGGGTTGCAGCGTTGAAATGTGGAAAGGCAACTTATTTGAACAATACGTTGGGTCTCCTCGGGCCCGGTCGCAGGTCTCGGATTCAAGATTTCTGCAGGTGGCTAGTTTAGACCGTCAGACATATGATTTTCAAGGGCAGGATGCAGAGCGGCATTTGTTGAATGTTGTGCCAGTTGTTTCTCCGATGTGAAAGTGTCGTTCTGCCATTATGGTGGCGTGGGATGTGCAATCGAGTTTATTGTCCGTGTCCATAGTGGGCCCCCTTATTATCATGCTAGACAGACAGTTTATAGGTCATGTTCAGAGTTTGGATATAAAGCCCTGGAGTGGATCTTATGCAAGTTGTAAGTGAACTCTTAAGTTTCAGAAGTTGGGCCAACCTAAATGCGATTATAAGCCGTGAACACCAAGTGCCCGAAGACAATCGCCACACTAGTCCCCGGCTGCATGGTTAGCCCTATAAACCCCTAAACACTAAGTCAGGTTCTTCTTTGCCTTGGCAGCCCTGGGTCTCTTCCTGCTGCTGATGGCACGGATTTTTTGGCGGCTGTTGCCCTCAAGGCGAATTTCTTGCAGGATTTCGAGGTTTAGGGGTTTAGGGTTTGGGGGTTTTCCTCAGGCTTCAAAACTCAACACCCGCGACCCTAAGTCCTAAAACATGCATCCTAAGCTTCTCGGATCGTTGCGAAGCCGCAAAAGGGTCGTTAAAAAACACATGCATCCTAAGCCCAAGTCTTTAGAGCCCAAGCTCAGCAAGTTGAGAGACTGCATTGCAGGATGCAGGCCTGGGCAGCTGTGCTGTCCGCTGCGGCTTTCTGGCTGATCCCGAATTTTACTTAATGTGGGTCGAAATGGTCAATACCAGTATATACTCTTTAGGGTTCTTTGCTGCAGCTGTGATGTTTCGTCATGTTTACTATGGCAATAGTATGAACCCACGAAGGCTCGTTTTAAGCGTTTTTTTTTAATTCCGTCTGGCAGAGTCCCTGTTGTGATATGGTGAGCAACCCGCCAGTTCTTTCCTGCGGATTCTGTTGTGAGAGGCCTGAAGCCCTTGAGCCCGACAGCAAGCAAAGGTCACCGGAGGAGTTTTCCTCCTTTGGGGCCTCACTGGGGCTGGGACCGGTGAAGCTTTCGAATTTCATCCGCCTCTGCTTTGGCTCCTGCGCTACATCCTTCAGCCGCCTGAGAGAAGGACACGGATCTCGCAAACAGGATTCTGGCACCCGCGCTACCTTTGCTAGAGTATGAGCTGAACAGAGCTCCTGCAAGTTGTGTGGTCCAAAGGCTCAGCGACCAGACGTTGGGACCTAAGTCGGAAAGCATACTATCTTTTTCTGCACAGGGGGCCAAGACACATGACTACTAAAACTCTCGCAAAAAGGCCCTTTTCATAGTTATGTAAAGAATACCCGACCCCAGACCCCTGTTCGTTGTATTCTAACACCGTGAAACGAAGGCATAGGATGATCGTGGACTTGCATGAGTGCCGTCGGATAATGCTCGTGCCTGTAGGACGCTTTTCCTGCAGTGGCCGCTGTTGTTGATCGCTGGCGTGCTCGGTGCCGACGTCCTCGCACGCAGGCCTGGCGCTGCTCCTTTTCGTAGCGACGAAGATCAACCTATCAGGACATCCTCTAATCGGCACAGCCCATTGCCAACGGTGGCCAGAGACGCATACCTAGCCCTAGCCAGGTTTTGACTTGCACTCATGCTGTCACGCACATCCCGAATGAAGCACTCATGCATATGTTCATCCATCCTTGCTTCCTTCCATCTATGCATGCATCCATCCATATATGCACGCACCTGCACCATTATGCAGACACACACTCACACACATGCATGCATTTGTCTGTTCGTTGCATGTGCATAGCACGTGCAGGCCTGCGATCGTGGCAACAGGACGGATTCGAGTATGTTTATTCATATCTCCAGCTCCGTGCTTGGCTGGGATAACGCTTCTCTACCGTTACCTTCACGTTGGTGTGCATTCATGTATGCATGGCTGCGTGGACGCTGTGACCTCCCAGGACTCACGACAGTATTCGCCGCAAGCCATCACATAAGGCTTATGAGGGTAAGTTTAGGGTTATTACTAGTTCTGCCAATGGCTTGGAGACCACATTACGCAAGCACGTGGTTTGATCCTTCATTGCTTCTGCGAGTCTCGGGTGTATGGTCGAGGTATCGCGTTTCGCATAGGTTATTCAAAAGAAGTGTCAAAGGCTGAACCGAGCTGAACTCCACCCGACACCCCAAAACTGCACTTGATACTCGATGCAGCCCTATACCTTAAACCCCCTAAACCCCTAAACCCTAGTGTTTTGTCAGCCATATGACAGGCTCGCATCTGCGTCCAAGGGTCGCCCCTCCAATCGGGACAAGCACTTCGTCCGTGGCCGCGATGCATCGACTTCAGAGTACCCAAAGCCTTATGGACACCTGATAGCTGGCATCAGAAGAGCCTCGCGTTACTACGCCAAATACGAGGCAAGACATTCCATGCGCTGGCCCTGGCCCTCTTCGTGCCTCCTCTCTGTGAAGGCGCGGCCTCGGCCTTGCCCTTGGAATCGATCGATGGTGAGTCTTACGGATTAGGCTTTAGGGTGTGTTGCTTCAGAGAGACCCCGTTCAAAAGGGTGCGTTGCAAGCTGCAACAGGGTTAAGTTCTTGAAAGAAGCCGAGATTTTATGAGGCTTTGCTCGGGCAGATGCTTCCAATAAGATAAGGATGCTCCACAGTTGAGGTTGTTACAAGACATTCCCCGCACATGGTAGCAACTAGACCTATAGGTGAAACAGCCATCGTATAACATGAAACCCATGGATGGAAAAGGGTTTAGAAGTGAGTGTTCTACATTACTTCTTGAGTTAGGGTATCACGGCCGCACCAGGTCTGGCGCCCTTCCTGTCGCTGTCGCTGCTGATAGCTGCGCTTCTCTTCCTGCTGCTAGAGCCTTGGATTCTTGAAAACTGCCTGGGGCTCAAATGTGGAATATAGAAGCAGCAGGGTTTGGGGTGTCCAGTCCCTTTGACATGACGGTTTCCTATAAGGGTAGGTGAGTAGGTCACCTTCAATTACTCGTCACTTACTGATGTAGAGGCCCAAAAAGGCCCAGCAAGAAACCTTTTCAGGCCATTACACAACAAAGAAGGACTCTTGATATTGGCATAAGTCCCCAATGCCAAGCTTTTCAACCCTTATTGTTTGCTATAGAAGGAAGGTTGAGTTTCATTCTGACAGGTCAACTTGTTGATTCTTTTTCGAAGTGACCACCCCCCCACCCACCCTCAACCAACGCACCCACCCACCCCAACCCCGAAAACTTACACCCTAAAACCCAAAGCCCGTGTGCAGGAGACCTTGCGGTTTTACAAGACGCCCCAGCTCGCCGCATTGCTCGATGGCCGCTGGCCCGTTCTGGAGTAGCCTACGAATAATCACTGACATTGTATTCCTGATGGTCCCTTATCATAATGGTAGTACAATAGGCTCCCAAACCCTGTTCTGATAATTGTAATCATTTAGGCCTAGGCCCTATACACTTGGATTTTCCGGATCGCAAGGGGACCTAAGCCCAAAGCGTTTCGGGTAAGATGCAGGCTGCCACCCAACTTTGGGAGTGGGGGGGTGTTTTTGTTCGGGGGTTGCTCCCAACTTTAGTAGATGTACTGTCAGGAGCTGTCACTGTGTACATGAAGCATGGCATACCTTGACACAGTTTCAGAAGAGATGCAGTTTCCATCAAAGCTGCACGAGAGAGCCACTTCGGTCCGCAATGCCAGAATTGAAGACTTGCGAGGGGCAAATTGATTGTTAGATTGTCATTGAGGCGGTGGTGCTGATATTCCACGTTTCATCTCTAATGAAGTTGAAACTGAACGCTTGCCATTAGAATTGGTGTTCTTTGCTTTACTTTTGCCAACAGTCATGCAGTTTGTCAGGCCCCACGGCCCGAGACTCCAAACCCAACAGCCCCCACCAAAGCCATGGAGGCTTGCATACTTCGTGCAGATGTGAGAGCCGAAGCATAAGCCCTTAATCCCCAAAACGCCTGAAAGCAAGCTCGACCGACCTGAAGCCAGCCTGCCTATGAGCGAGTGCGTGAGTCGAAAACGCATGAAGCCGTAAGCGCTCACTATGTGGAGCCTTGCCTGCTGCGTGCGAGTGTGAGCGTCGAAAGCCCAGCACAAGACTCCCAGGAAGCCCACCCTAAACCCTAATCCCTAAACCCTAAACCCAAGCCCCGAAAATTCAAAGCCTTCAAGTCAACATCGCAAAGGCTTCGTGGGCCAGCACCTCGTCTTTGCAATCTTGGATAATTTAGGGGTCTTAATACTTCCCTATACTGTTTCTGGGGTTCCTTATTGTAACTATAGTATGCTATACCCCAAAGACCTAGTCTAAGTATTTAGGCCCCTGTAGCAATGCGTAGGGCCCCTCATTATCGGAGCATTTGGCTTAGGGATGTTGAGAGGCTCACGCACGGGATGTTGCTTGAAAGCCCACCCAATTTGAAGTGCACCGGGGGGAGCGTTCATCGTTTAGGGGCTTCGGACTGGGAATTTGTTGCAGCCCTGGGCCATCCAGAGCCCTAAACACCAAACCCGAGACACTTCATCCCTAGAACTTCGACCTGCGATCCGTTTAGGGTTTAGGGGCCTCAGTTTTGACTAAGCCACCGTGTTGGGATGAGGGCCTCGTTTGGTCCGCTGTCGCTTTTGTAGGAGAGTTACCGGATACAGTAATTACAACATACAGACTTACGGGAATCCGAAGGCTCGCAATTTGGTGCAGGGTCCGCGTCCAGTGGATGATTCAGAACATCAGAGACCCTGTGGGTCGACCCCACATGGCCCTTAAATGATCAGTCTGTTTCTAGCATGGCGAAGACGCCCTAATCAGATCCCAATGGACCGTAACCCAGACCCAAAGCCTCCCATGCCTCGCTTGCGGCACGGCTCTTTCTAACTACGTAAGAGTACCCATATAGGCCCCAAAGTAGATCCTTTTTGGGATTAGCTTATAGGGTTCTATATATGAGCCCCAAAAAAGGAACTACTTTGGGGCCTTAGGGTAGCTGTATTGATGATACCCAACCAAGGTGTTGTTAAACACACCAGTCACCAACTGACCTGTCACTATTCTACCATGCGTCTGAGGGGCTCATGGCCTTGGTGCCCACACACGGCGGTCAAGCCTAATATAGGGGCTTAAATACTAATTATAGGGTTCATTTGAAGGGTTTCTTCAAAAGCGGTACTTTAAGGGTTCTATAATAGGGTTCTGTATTATAGGGGATACCATTTTAAGGGTTCCTTTTTGTGATTATAGTATCGTATAATGGGCCCCAAAATCCTTTTCTAATTCTTAAAACAGGGAGAGCGTAAAGCCCCTGTTTTGGAACCCTAAACTCGATCCAAATGTCCAGGGCTGCGACTCAGAGTTCATGAGCTAGGGACGAGCATGCGTCGTCGTCGGAGAGAGAGAGAGAGAGAGAGAGAGAGAGAGAGCGAGAGAGAGAGAGAGAGAGAGAGAGAGAGAGAGCTTTTGGAGTGTATGTTGGTGTTTGTTTGCTGACGTCTTTGTCTGTGTGTGTGGGTTCTAGTTTATCAAGACAATAGCTTGTGGATTCCACGATTGGACACAGCCATGCTTCACTATAGCCCTGCACTCACTGTGGGTCTCTATCGAGCCAGTGTAGTTCGTTTATGGATCCCCCAAAGAAGCGTATGACCTCAGCATGTCGGGTTGAGGCTTTCCAAAGGCACACTCTCCGCGGGTGGATATTTCAAACACAGGTCGGAGGAAGTGGGAATGGTATCCCACTAGAGGAGTACCTATGGAACTATACCGAATACTCTAAGCCCAAAGCCCCCAAAACTTCGGAATGCTTGCGAGACGGAGAAGGGGTCCTTCAAAAACCCAAAACCCCTTCACCAGCCAAAGGTACTTAGATAAGCGGGAAGATATCTCTCGAGGAGACCTGGCCGCTTGGCTTTCTGGCTGATTGCGAGTTATTCCTACGGTTCACAGTGAGGCTTTGTTGAGCTACTTTCAACCAGCGTAATCGCATCCCCCCATGATAAAAACACCCCTCCGTATGAAAGCACTTTGTGGCCAATCCTGCCGAAATCCTCCCTGCCCTTGAAGCCCGGTTTTCATAAAGTGGGTGGAGCAACAGCAAGACCAAGAGCAAGAGCAACATCAGCGCTCCCGCACGAGAGCCAGAGACGAGGCAGGAGCAAGATACTTCAATAGTGACAGTATACGATGACAAAACAGCCCAAAGCATTTTGGGAGTGTGTTTTTGGGGTGGGCGCCGTTTAGTGTTTGCGGGAAGGGGCTATTCTGTATATATTCCCCAAGGCCCCCTGTAAAGTTCTGCAAACTTGAGCCCGATGTTCCACCAGGCCGGGTTATTTGGGGGATGCTTAACCCTGAACCCTAAACCCCAAGCCCTAAACCCCAAACCTTGAACCCTGAACCCTAAAACCTAAACCCCAAACGCAAACCTAAACCCCAAACCCTGAACCCTATACCCTAAAACCTGAACCCTTGAGAGTGTAGCTTTCAGGGCTTCGTACCACGAGACCAAACTCCCAGCTCGTTGTTTGGATAGTGGGGGATTAGGGTAGTGTAGAGGCCTTAGAAAAGGGTTTGTGATATATTCTACTCGACTTGTTATAAGGAACCCCCAAAACCCTATTCTAATCTTCACAGCTCCTACATTAATCCTAAACCTTAAAAACTTACATGCTAAGCTCAAAAACTCTGTCTCCTGAACCTCCTATCCCGGGCCCTAGCCTTAAACCTTAAACCGGCAAACCCCCAAACGCGCCAAACCCCAAAAGACGAACACGTCTTAAGGTCCTTAACTACCCATTTCCAAGCCCTTTTATAACCCTAAGCCCTAAATTCCACTTCTAAGCCCTTTAAACCCTAAACTGACCTTGAGTTGAGGTCCTTACCCACCTTTATCTGCTGCTGGGCTGCGCTCTGCCGATTTGGCTGGAAGGATCTCTCGAGCCTCGCCCGTGTGATTTGTTGTGGTGTTTTTGAAGGGGGTGGGAGGGAGGGCAGTGATCTTCCAAACTTGGGATTTAGAGTTTCAGCGTCTAGGTTGTGAGCATTCTATCATGGCTTTTCGGGGTTTTGTACAGTGTCCTTTTTGGGTTTTTGAGGTATACGGATTTCTTGAGGTGGGGTCACGCAGCCCAGTCCAAAAATTGAAAAGCAGATACCATATGGTATCATTATGGGATTCTAGCTGCCAAAGAAAAGATGATTTCTATAGCTGACGTTGCAGGGTAGGGTCCTCACGATCAGGACCCTTTGTTTTCGGGATCTGTGCTTCAAAAACGTGGCGGCATGGAATTTCGAAAAGATATTTCAACTTGTGTAGCCTCGTGGCCCCACAGAGACCAACACCACTTGATCCGCACTTGCGGCTATTGCGACAGGCGCCCACGCCAAATGCCATCGTATTGTGTTCCTTTGTTACCCTATAGGCATCTAAGCACTTATATATTGAGGCTTTTGGGCCCAAAGACCATATACTATATAAGGCTTTTGGGCTATTTTAATGCCCAGGGTTATTTTGTTATCGGGATTCAGGGCATGGGCCGTTATCGAAGTCACGCATGTCCCGGAGCATGGGTGAATGTCGGCAGTCCCCACCTGCTTGCCTACAAGGCTGCTATCTCAAACCCAAGTACATAAGATGAGTGAGTCTTGCAGACCTTTGTTGAACCCGTTTCTAGAACAAATAAACCATCATAAACCCATATCATATGCCATATAGCACCGTGACGATTTCATTGTGGGCCCTTGAATGCTGGGATCGTTCTGAACAAGCAGAGAGGAATCTGTTCAAAGGGCCCGGGTCTACTTTGTCATAGTTGGGTAACATTTTACATTCTTCTTGGTACTTAGACCCAATAAGGAATACAACATGTACATGTTTAATCCTATCCCAACCATGAACTAGTCTAAGCCCCATCATCTTTCAGCCGAGTGCAGCCTGCCATGGGCACAGCTCTGAGACTCGACGTTGCAAGGCCGAAAAGCAAGGGTTGATCCCAGTCCAGACTCCATCTTTACCCTAAGTCCCCAAAGCGGTTCCTTTTGGGGTTCATATATAGAATCCTATAAGGTAATCCCAAAAAGGAGCGTATGTATGCAATCTGTGTAATCGTTCATCGACCAGCGGAGGGTGTTAACAACATAGGTTTTTTTCAGGTACGGCCGTTCAGCCCGGATACGTCCTCGGCTTTGCGGCAGTGGGGCGGCCTTCTACTCATCGGGGTGTCTTTGCGGCGTCATACCCTAAAGCCCGGCAACCTCCGGCCAAACATCCCGTATCCTGAATGCTGTCGGCTTTGCATAGATGTCCAAGCACATCTCCTTCTTTATTGTTCAACATTCGTTTGCTCGATTCTTCGAAGATCTAGTAGATGGTACAGTGTTCAAGAGGAGAGCTAGTCAATGAGACCAAGACTCCCCTGAATGAAGGAACGATCCTTGTCTTGGGGTGCCTTGTTGCATAGTTTAGGGACCTGTCCTTGACTTACGGTGGGTTTAGGGTTGACGGTTCATCTTCCCGACTATGCTACTTGAAACTTTGGCTTCAGACTCGTTACTTCGGCTTAGTCTTCGTAGCTTTTGCGTTGGCAGTCCTTGTGCCGGTGCTGCTATGTACTAGCCCCGTTGTCACTAACATTAGAAAATATTCATTAATTGAGAAGTATTCAACCCGTTTGAGTTGTTGTTTCGTCCCAGTATCAACCCGGAGATTCAATCACCCACTGCCTGTGACCGAGGTGGGTGATTCTTGCGCGGCCATTGTCGGCATTCTTTTCGGCAGGTGGCATGCATCGAAAGCCAACGCCTAGTTGCCCACTTACGCTAAACCCGAAAAAACATGCCTAAACCCTAACTGTTGAATCTTTGCTGAGACCGATCTCCCTGTATCCATGCCTGCCTTGGGCCAGACTGAGTTAATTGAGTTGAGAAACCCCAAATTAAACATAGACTCTGGAATTCCTGAGATCTACACCCCAAATTCTAAACCCAAACCCGAAAACCCCAACTTCTTGCCCAAAGCCCGGAGCCCACAGATGCTTTCAAAGGCATGCATGGCCCGGATCGCACCGCACACTGGAGGGCTCTGCAGCCTTCCTGGCCGGCGTGCTCTTTGGCTCTGCGCCCCTTTGCAGAAGATGTGGGACGTGGGGAGCTGTAGGGTTTATGGGCTTCAGGGCTCGCCTCAGTCGGGATGATTGAGGGTTGTGGCTTGGCTAGGCCCTGGCTTGAACCCAGCGGCAACAGAAGAGTTTGGGTAAAAGGGTCTTTTGAGGCTGACCCGTGGATCCCAAACCTGCCGCTGTTGAGAGTGATGCCGCATACTGTCTTGGGTCGGATCCTACTATAAAATTGTGTTGTACGGTTTTGTGATACAGGTAGTGTTTGCGTTTCTAGACTTATAGGGTGGCAGCAAGGGTTGGGAGGGTTTAACAAGACCGCACCCTGCTTTGCCGGGGCTCCCTCTTCTTCTCGTTTCGCTTGCCTGTGCCGAGGAACGGCTTTGTTGTCCCTTCTGTTGTCACGGTTCACCTTCCCATCCGCATGAGAATTTGTGATTTGTTTCTGTGTATTCGATGTCCGCACCACAAGAGCAAGGAACCGCAAATCCGAGAGCTCTAAAATCCTTTAAAGGCCTATACTCTAAGCCCTTCCCAAACAAGCCGTCCCTGAGTACTCTGAGATGTCTCCTCGCGGCATCCGGGCGTGGCATCACATTACTGCCAGCTGAGCTGCCCGCCACTGGGTCTGCTTGAAATAAGCAGCAAGCTCGGGTTTACCGCCTACCGCAATAGCAAAAAACTCTCCATAACTATATAGGTTTTGCGGTTCCACCCTGTGGGCCAGTGGGTGTTGCTGCCGGCGCCCCTGTCGCGATTTGTTTTTGTGTAGTCATCTTTCTGTATTTCAATATAAATCGTAGATCCAAACTGAACCAATAACCTACCTTTTCAAGGTGTACAACAAGGGGGGACAGGACCTACAGGGCTATATATAGGGTTGTATGTACTTGCGATCCCACAAAAAGCAATTTCACCGTAACTTTTCGTCGTCACATTCCACCCGTCACCCAGGCTTTGTTGGCGGCCACGGTCCTTTCGGCCCTGCTTCTTGTCCTGCTGGATTGGTGCTTTCGGGTGGAGGTCGTGGGGTTTAGGGATTCAGGGTTTAGCTGAGCTTGCTGTAAGGTTTTGCAGGATTTGGAGATTTAGGGCTTCCTGTGTGGCTGCCCGAGGAATTATCAACACGAGAGTCCAATCGTTCGGTTTGCCTATGGGTGCTCTACGAAAGCACGCTCTGCGGAATAGAGGGGTCGAAAAATCAGTGCTAACTGCGATGTTTATTCCTTAGGCCTTCTGCACATAACTATACTAGAACAGACCCAACGCCCTCTTGTTTCCATGACCCCCGTAGTCACGCCGAAGCTCAAACCCTTATACCACCCTGACGGACCCCTCCAAGAAGGCCTTCAGCTCTGCCAACATCCCTTACTCAAGGAATATATACCTTAAACGATAAAAGGAGCCCCGATCTGTTTTAAGGCACCTTCCTTAGTTCAACTATGGGTAAATGGAAGAGCTGGGCATCAGCTCTCGCCTGAAGCAAGGGACAACCACAGCAGCCTTCAGCCCCATAGCCCATAGCCCTCCGCCAAAACATGTTAACTTAAATAACTACGCCTTCAAGGTACGGAGCTCCAGGCACATCATGTGTGTGTATATGCGTGTATTTACATATATACACCTACTGAAGCCTTACCGATACCGATATACTTGTCACTCTATGGCCACGGTCGTTATCCGACATGCGTACATGAACCCTGGCGGAGAGAATCTTCAGTCTTTCCCTTGCCAAGGCTAGAGGTGTACACCGAAAGCTGCATGGCTGCTCTATGGACAGGCGTAGGGGGGTTTTCGGATTCGGGGTTTAGGCCTTCGGGTTGCGTTGCAGCTCCTGCTCAAAACAAGGGCTTTGGGTTGTGAGTTCAGGGTTCGAGGTGTAGGGCGCTGAACTTTGGCCAGGTCTTAAAATGTGAACCAGGTTGTTGGCTTTGAGGCTCCGGGTTTTCTGGGCCGAGGATTCAACGTCGGGTGCTGCAGTTTAGGGGTTCGCGACTTGTGCAGGGGTGTAGGGGTGCAGGTCGGGCTTGAGTTTGGGGGCAAGATACGTCACCTGTGGCTGGCTCGTACAAAGTTTTAGTTGTGGTGCCGTGGCGGGCTTTACTGGCAAGTATTCATCAAAACCTGGTCCTTAACTATCGTCAAATCATGTGAAGGTTTATAGCCCTGAGCAGCCTAATTGACCATTCCGGGCCTTCACCTGCCTTCGTCGGGAAAACGTTTTGCCTTCAGGAGACACGGTGACCAAACGACAGAAATGCAAGAAATATCTCTAGTCGTCTCGGTGTAGCCACTCGTATAGCAAAGTATGCAGTTGCGAGCTGAGGCTTTGACAACTTGGTTTTGCCTCTGTTCTTCTGCCCCCTTCTGAAGTCGCTGCAAGCACGCCTTTGAGCCACTTCCGGGGGGCCTCAATGTGAAAGGGGCCTGGGGGAGATTGCCACCCAGTGCCCATTTGGAATTGATAGAAGAGGGATGCAAGGCCAATCGCAGAGCCTTTCCTAGGGGTACTTTGAAGTTGTCACAAACCAACACGACGGATTCTGCTGTAAATCGACATTGGTCGTACAACGCATTGTTTCATAAGGGTTGAGGCTCCCCTTAGGCTATCAGGCGCTGTGGCCTGTCCTGCAGAGGCAACACGGATCGATTCTTTCGGGCCCAAGCGTTGGTACATCATGTACAGACTCAGGCCCTAAGCTACACCCCCAAAGCCCTAAACCCTAAGAGGCCAGCCAAAGAAGCTGAGACCCTCCCTGAACTTGCGATGCAACTCCGAGCAGGAGCCTGCCTCAGTCTTGCAGCGTGAAACCGGCCCTGCCACTAGGGAACCTACAGAGGTCGCATATACGTGACAAGGTAGTAGGTAGTGTACTATGCAATACTATAGCATACTGCAATATGCCATAATTACTCGAAGTACTACCGTTCCTGTGGTCCGGGGATTGTGCAGGCCGCGATCCCCGAGCTTCTCAGATATGTGTGTGTATATATATATACACATATATATATATATATATATATATGTGGTCGTATGTGTGTGTATATATATAGGTGTATATGTATTCATATATGTGTACATATCTATACGAGATATGTAACCTCATCGGCGAAGCTTTGCTTAAGATGCGACGGTTCTAGTATGTTCTAGCCGCAATTGTCTCAGTATGCACTAGGGTGGTTTGGATTTGTGGTGCAGCGTAGTGCAAATTGAGAGAGATACTCTGATGCAAAAGATTGCAAGGCGGTCCTAGCGACTGCATCTTCTGGTATGTAGTTCGTTGCCAGTATGCTTCGTCGACCAACCACCTGCCTTTTCAGACTCATCTAGACTCTAGAAAGCCTCTCAGCGTTAAAACTACCTATGAACATGGCATAGACTTTGACCCTGAAGTGTCTTTTTCTGGGACGCCTATAATTAAGGCCACTGTAAGTAGGCGGAAGGTACGTGAACCTCGACGGAACCATGAAGCAGTACATGCAGTATCACAGGCTTCTTGTCATGGCGGGTCTGGTCCCTAAGCCCCAAACCCTTAACTTAAACCCTAAGGCCTTATAAGCCCTGAAACCTAAGTGTTCGGTAGGAGCCTTTCAGTGAAACCCCAGCACGGACGTTGTTTGTTATCAGCAGGTTACAGTCTTTATCATGTCATAATTAGCAAGGCGTCTATGTATCCCACTTTTTATGAGGCTTAAAACCCAGACTCTTAAACACTAGGCCCTTGGTGAAGGGATAGTGGGATGTTCGGGTCTGAGTGCGATGTCCCTTCGCAGACACCTGGAAAGATAGAATATCGATTTACCCCAAACATCAGATTAGATCATGAACACATGCATGTGTATGCACAAATATGCATATGTGTTTAATTATATGCATATAATATGTATATATGTATGTATGTATGTTTAAATTGTGCCTTTAGTATGGTAAGTTGGTTCGGTAGAGTTGTCTATCCTGCTGCCCTGGCTCACCATGCCGTCAGCTTCTACTGGGATCGAGGATCGGATGACCCTTGCCTTGTCCGGTATGATCGTCCCTGCATAAACCCAAAAGACCAAGGTTGCTGCGCCGCTAGGTATTGTGCTTAACCACTATGCCGAAGTTGTTCAACTAAACTAAACGTAGAATATCACGCCAAGCCTTATTCAGGTAAAGACGGCCCTCTGCACATACAGCGGCACAAGCAGCAAACCCGAAGCCCTAAACCAAGCATCGAAGCAGTCCTTGGGAGGACGTCTCCCCTCTGCAGGATGCCAGTTGAACCTCATTATGTGGTTGTTCTTTTGTAAGCCTCAAACCCTGATCCCCGAGCGCTATAGCACAAGATCCACCAGAGGTCATAACACGAACTGGCCAATTTCAAGGGTCCCGGCCTTACATAGCTAAAGCCTTGACACGCTTGATGCCGCGTTGCCACGGCGTCCTGGGGCGCCCTGGGGCTTTGGCTGCCTGCTTCCTAGCTCCTCCGCAGCCGGCTACTCGTCGAGGGTATAGGAGCTTGATGGATCTGGCATAAGGGCTTAGAGCTTCATGGTAGGGTCAAACAAAGTTCAGGGTTCAGGGCCTGGGGTTGAGGGTCTGAAAGGCTGCTACTTTCTGTGACCATTCTGCATGTGCTTGCGCTGTTCTTGTGATGTGATCTTTGTGAGGCCGCCGTCGCAAACGGGGCATGTCGTCGAGGTGCCCTTCGGTTCCCGGGTGATTGTGTCACGCTGTGGCGGTTCAGGGTGCGGAGGGCGCATTGCCCCCTTTTGCATCGAGGAGTGTGAGAATATCATGCATGGAGTCAAGGTACGGTGTGCTTCAGTCTATTGAAGGTGTGGCGATCTGGGCCTGCTCGCTGCAGGTTAGGGAATCGAAAATAGCAGAATTGTCATTGTCATTGTTGTTATTGGTGGTGGTGGTGGTGGTGGTGGTGGTGGTGGTGGTGGTGGTGGTGGTGGTGGTGGTGGTGGTGGTGGTGGTGGTGGTGGTGGTGGTGGGTGGTGGTGGTGGTGGTGGTGGTGGTGGTGGTGGTGGTGGTGGGTGGTGGTGGTGGTGGTGGTGGTGTGGTGGAGGTGGTGGTGTGGGGTGCGGTGGTGGTGGCGGGTGGTGGTGGTGGTGGTGGTGGTGGTGGTGGGGGGGGGGTGTGGGGGGCGGTGGTGGTGGTGGTGGTGGTGGTGGTGGTGGTGGTGGTGGTGGTGGGGGGGGGTGGTGGGGGGGGGGGTGGTGGTGGGGGGGGGGGTGGGGGGGGGGGGGGGGGGGGTGGGGGTGGGGGGGGGGGTGGGGGTGGTGGGGGTGGTGGTGGTGGTGGTGCCGTTGCCGTTGCCGTTGCCGTTGCCGTTGCTGTTGCCGTTGCCGTTGCCGTTGCTGTTGGCGTCGGCGTCGGCGTCGGCGTCGGCTGCTGTTCTTCTCCCCTTGTTAATACCACCCCCTACCTTGAAAGGAGTTATACAGTAGGGATCCTAATGGTATGGCCCCACAATAAAGCAGCTTGTTAATCAGGGCCTTTGCCAGCGTCCGAGCCTTCAACGCTTGCAGGAAGCAGAAAGGCATAGCAGCGATCATTGCGACAGTCAGAGCTTTGGCAAAAAGGACTACCGGGTAAACCGCAAAGTTGTAATGACTACTTGAACTACACCAAGCACGACATGAGCAGCCTAATTAGTTTGCTTTGCTTTTTTGTAGGAAGGCCGGCTTACTCCTGGCAGAAGTACAGGAGCTCCGACAGCTCGCAGTGCTCTTCATTCACGCTTTTTTTTTGTGGCTCAAGGCTCCAAATCCCTGCTTTGATTCTTCAACCTCCTCATTTCCTTCTCTCCCTCATGTGGAGTGGTTTCGACGCTCAGGGCAAGCATCCATAGACCTGGTGCGCAGGGACAGTTGCGGGAACCCATGTCCCATACCAGTCAGGATGCGATTATACGGGGTTTCGCAGGGCACTCCTGCCGACCCTGGCCTTGAGAGACACCTTCTGACCGAGCAATCAACCCTTACCCTAACTGCCTCAACCGCAGGCGCATCGACTTCAGTGGGTCCGGTGCGAGTCTTCGACACAGCCGAGGTGGCTTGTGCCGGCGTTTTAACGTTGTCGGAGTGTATAGGGTTTAAGTATGTTTAAGTCCTCGTGGCGGTTGAATCAAAGTTGGGTGACACAGAAGTTGGTGTGTGCGTGCGCAGCGCCAACAGGCAAGGTTATAGAAGCTACCCGAATCTGGTTATGACACCGTATGACACCTCATCGGGCATGGCTATTGGTATTTCTTGGCACAATGCGAGCATTCCAAGGTCAGATGATGATTGCATGATTGTCATGCATTTAGGGCTTTGAGAGTGCAGGTGTTCAAGATCCGTTTCCTGATGGTCCTGTGCGGTTGCATCGTTTCTGGGGGCACAGGATGTCCCCAAATTTAAGGCAGCCTACAGACCTGATGTGGGAAGGCTGAGAGACAGCTTGTTCGTCTGGCCAGGCGACTTTAGCCCCTTGCGTTTCAAACATGTTGGGATTTTGCAGCACGAGCTTACATTGGGTGCTGCAACACTTCTATCGGAATCCAAACGTTCGGGGCGCTGGGGAGCAGGCTTGGCTCCTTAGCTAAGGAGCTGCTAGCTGACATTGGAGAGCACCTGGGCCAATCGTTATGAAAGCCGAGCTTAGGGCCTCCATGAAGAGGGTCCTGATTGAAGGATGTAGTTTTAGTCACCGAAGTAAATGCTAGGATTCCTTTTTGCTCTATAACTCCCTTACTATAACTTCCTTAAACAAGAACCCCGTGATCTGCAGATTCGAAGCCCTAGGCCTTGCCGCGAGAATCCACAGACCCTGGTATTTCTGCACGGCGTTCGATTTGCGCCCAACGTCGGCGCGAGCTTACGTGCCGAGGTGAGACACATAAACCTTCTTCATCCCAGTGCCGCTTTCGGCCACGTATGCCTAGGCTGAGGCCCTTGAAAATTTTTCCGTTCGTAGCAAGACATCGCCTCCGAACTCCCTTCTCCAAGTCTTGCGAATGCAGAGAGGGCAGTTGAGGGTTCAGCGTTGTGGGGGTTGGGGTGGAGGAGTTGGTGGAGGGTAGACAGTGAGAGACAGTGAGGTAGGCAGGGAGGGAGGAAGGGAAAGAGAGAAAGATGAGAAAAATAATACTAGTGGTTTGGATGGTTTGGAAGGCTTCAGGGTCTCCGAAGCCGATGAGTGAAGAAATTGATGAGTCCATGCGGACCCCGAAGCTGTGCATCCTGAACATCCATTGCCCTAGAAGCAGGTTTGGTTTCTGTCTTACGGTTCTGCTCTCATTCTTTTCCTCTTCAGCTCTAGGCGTCCATCACAAACGTACGAGAAACGGCCTGGGGTTTCCTGGGGATGACCCGGAGAACAAGCAAATCCTTTGGGGGGGGTGTTGGACTTGGAAGTCTCACCAAGGTGCTAGCCATCTTCTGGGTGCGCAGGCCTTGCTACCCATAGGCTCCAAAGTAGTTCCTTTTTGGCATAACCTTATAGAATTCTATATATGAACCCCCAAAAGGAACTACTTTGGGGCCTGTGGGTAGACTTGAAACGTAGTCTGGGGTATCGGCTCTGGGTTAACTTGAGGCAAATGCCATACCCCCGGACTTTAGGGTTTAGGGTTTAGGGTCCAAGTATGCATAATAACGAAATCGTATACTCCGCTAGATACAAGTGTACCTACAGCTCTAGTATCCATAATGGTTCGGTGGTGGTTGGAGAGGGCTACGGTTTGGGATTTTCAGGATTGTTGAATTCCGGGTTGCCGAGCATTCGGGCACAAATGTACAATTTCGAAGCGAGCGATAATGATTTGTTCAAATCCCTCCTGTCCATGCCTGCTTTTTGCAATTCCTCCTTGCTCGTGTGTAATATTCAGGCTGGGGCTTAGGTTTTCAGACTTTCAAGTTGAACAGAATCTTGCGGAATCGTAGTCGTAAAGCCTGAGCCTAAACCCTTAAGCTCTGCCACTCTAAGTCAGTTTCAACCGTGAGGGCTGCCTCTTGGCTGGCGGTCTCGCGGAGTCGCGGCAGCGACGGCCCTCGCCACTCGAGGAGGCGAGGCCAAGCCCAGGAATGAGGGCTTAAAGGGAAAAGCGCCTGCAAGGGATGTATATGGTATATGGGTGGCCGGATTTAGGTTTGGGACTTAGAGCTCAAGGCTCAAGGCTTACGAGTTTGAGGGAGCCTGTCAAGCTCCAACTTCTTCGTTACGCTGCCAGTTCTTGGCCAGCTTGTGGAGGTATGGTGCGCCCCACCCTAAACCCTAAACCCCAAACCCTAAACCCAGGCCATCCGCATCTCCATGGCAGCCCGGCACGGCTGGCCGCTGCGGGTGTCGACTTGCGCTCTCCCCGACAGCGCTGGTGCGGTCAAGGTCGCTGAACGTATTCCCAAAGGGTCCAAAGTACTGTTGTGGGGGGATACTTCCCCAAATCATAACAGTAATTCCTAATATAGGAACCCTACATTCTACCATAAAGGTACTTTGCACCCTTTGGGATTGTGCCAGTTGGCTAGGGAGTTAGGAAAATTAAATTGGGAATCGAACGTTGCAGGATGCCGGAGTTTAGAATGTTTAGCTCGTTTGTGCTCTCTAGGATGAACAGCAACATGTCCTCTGCTCATGTTTTAAGAGCAAAGCCCGGGGAGGTCTAATTTGCACACGAGATGGTTGTCATGAACTCCAGACTATGCCGGCTGTGGCTGCGCGACACGGTCGAGACTCCAGGATCTTCCCATTAGAACGGTGGCACCGAGGAAGTAAGACGACAAAAGGGCAGATGGACCGACAGTGTGCCAGGAGAAGGAGCGAGACAAGGAAGGACGAGGAATGACGAGCAAAGAGGAAGAGAGAGAAAGAGAGAGAGAGAGAGAGAGACTGCGAGAGACTCAGAGACAGAGAGGGAGAACGAGGGGGGGGAGAGACAGAGCCCAAGGAAGAAGCCAAGTGGAGGGGAGAGGGATGTCAATCTTGCCGTTGCAGTCGGCAGGTTTGCACAGAGCACGGATATCTTCCCGTGTGTGCTTCTTGTCTCAAACATCGGGTCATCGGGTGCTGCGGCGATGCAATCTGGAGCTCCTTTACATGTCCTTTGTTTCCGAGTTGTGTACAAACGACACACAAGTGCAAGTAAGTGAATAAACAGATAACTAACTGACGATATATATATATATATATATATATAGAGAGAGAGAGAGAGAGAGATCGACCTACATCGTGCATGCTGCATGTTATGTCTATGTATTTTGACATACATATACATACATATTCATATTCATATACGTGTACATGCACTATTACATGCGCATGTACATGAACATGTACATGTACATATACATATGTTTCTGCATATACATATGTAAGCGGTAGCACGCGCGAGAATCGCTGGTATAAACACCTCTTGCAACGACACTCATCCAACGGACGATGCGATGACGGTGAGAAGTCTGCACAGGCTTTTCTACTATTCTCTCTTAGCAACCCCATACAACCCCTAAACCCTTTCACACTTGATTATTCCCTTTCTCAGCCTTTGGCGAAGTGGGGGTTTCTCGTGGACGGCTCAAAGCTCGTAGGCCTCTACGGGCTGAGGTGCCCAAACAAGGCAGTATTGTGCAGTCGAAGTATCTCGGAGTCATGCTAAACCGCTGAGCCCGAAATCTTAAAGTCAGCTGGGCCTATGGCAAATAAATCTTAACGCCCTGCTCAGGTCGAAAACGACACCGCCGGCCTGGCAAACCCGCCTCTGCCGGCAGAGGACTTGGACCTGACAGCCACTTGCTCTGAGCTTTAGGCCTTGCTCTATGGTCTCCTTAGGAATTATTCTTTATTTTTGTTCATATAAAACCCAAGGGAATATTTAACAAATCATTTTTATTATGGTTCTCAGGGGAGTATAGTGCTGAGTTCAGGGTTCAGGGGTTAGGAGCACGAGCCCACAGCACAGTCGGCCCCTCAGTTCCTGGCATATGCGTAGTCCAGGTGTAAAAGGGGTTAGGAGCACAGTCCTAACTGGCGGAAGAGCGGCAAGCTACCAGGCATCCTTGCATGCAAGCCTACAGCAGAAGGGTTTAGGTTTAATAGAGTTTGGGGCTCGGGGCCGAATCGCCCTGGTATCAGACAGGGGTTTGGCGTCTATTCATGGGATTTCAGGGATTTCCGGGCTTAGACTAGACGGTTGGTGCAGATGCTTCCATCACTCATTGCTAAAAAGAGTGGTCGCCCTCGTTGGGGCTTTTAATTTGGGTTCAGAGTAAGAACGCTTCTTGAAAATCTTCTGAGGAGTCTTGGCAGTAATGACCTACAGCTCTAGGGAGGTTTGTCTAGAGAGGGACACTCAAACCCTAAGCGAGCTGGTTGTGGTCACCGGGGAAGGCACCAACTGAGTCAGAAATCGCCCCTAGCGATCAACCAGCCCCATACACATATGAAGCCAGGCTTTTTCACGCTACTGAGTGTTCCTGTCATCTCACTTCGTTGCATAGGCTGTAGTACCTCCTCAAGAAGAATTACGAAGTGGTCATAATACCCCCTTGTAGTTCCCTCAGAGCCATTACATATAATTTAATATACCTCCTTAATGCCTTCTGTTATTCATGCTTCTTTATTGGTTGAGCTGCTGGGCCTGGTCGAGGTCCCTGGCATGGCCTTTGTGTTCGGAGCCGAAGCAGCTCGGGCTCATCTGGCAAGGTACCTATAGTCTCCATTGTAGTTCCTTTTTTGGTTTTTGACCACAGATATTAAGGATCCTATAAGGCAACCCAAAAAAGGAACTACAACGGAGACTATAGGTAGGAGTTGCAGATTCCAAGACATGGCATGCGATGTTTTTCTCGCTTAAGCTGCAAGGACTTTGATAAATTCTGATCAGCTTCCGCAGGGTGGTTTCAGAACGTCATGCGCCCCGACACACACACCCACCCACCCACCCACCCACCCACACCCACACCCACACCCACACCCACACCCACACCCACACCCACACCCACACCCCCACACACCCACACACCCACACACCCACACACCCACACACACACACACAGAGAGACACCCCCCCCCCCCCCCGCGCGCGCGCGCGTGCAGGCGCACGGACCTTTAGCTTGGCTCTGGATAGTAGGATCCGCAGGAAAGATACCTTTGACGTTAATCATTTTACAAAGTGGTAGTTCCAGCTCCCGTAGATTTGGCTTTGGCGCACATGTGCAGTTCTCCACACTAAGCTTCGTGCTTGACTTGGGTTCCCATCACTCTCGCAGTACTACCGACCCTGAAACCAGCCCTACGTTGTCTTGAAGAGTTGACGTAGAGTTTGTTTTTTTGGGGTTGGCGGCTGCAGCACGGCAGCATACAGTGACCTGACAACCCCGTGAAGCATGTTCCCACGCCACTAGCTAGTGTTCGTGTGTCTTGTGTAATTAAAATGGATGGGTTCTTTCTGTGAATATATATATATATATATATATATATATATCCCCCTTCGCCGTCCTAGGACACAGGCGTCCCGTCTGAGGTCGCGGAGGCTGGGGCATCACAACAATCAATAGCTGCGGGTAGGGCTCGGGGTTTCGAGGTTCAGCGCTCTAAGGCTTTGTGAGTCACAGGCTTCAGATTCAGAGTATGTGATGGGCTTAGCCGCGCGTTTAAGCTTGAAGGTTCACGCGGCAGGGTAAACACCAGAGTACATTGCAGCCCCTTACAGAACTCTGACACGAACACGCGCTGAGACCTTAAGCCTTCAGTGGCTTCAGAGAAAGTTCATTACCCGCCTGGGGCTTCGGAGAGTTCTGGACTTGTTGGTTTAGGGTTTAGAGGTTTAAGGTTTAGGGTTTAGGGTTTTGGGGTTTAGGGTTTAGGGTTTTAGGGTTTAGGGTTTTTTTAGGGTTTAGGGTTAGGGGTTTAGGGCTTCGGTGAGCTGCTTGGGCCTATTCATTTCGGTCCCGGAGTGCGGTGACTTTCCTTGATCATCTAGTGTATGGCCAGGGTCCAATTACCCTAAGGCCCCAAAGTAATTTGTTGGGGGGTTCATATATAGCATCCTATACCGTAGTCCCAAACAGGAACTACGATGGGGTCTTACCAGCAGGGTATAAGAGGATACATCAGATAATTGCTCGAAATGCAGGACCTCCGGGTCAGGCAGGTTTGTGTACGCAGGGCAACCCTAAACCTTTGAAGGGGCTTGCAATTAATACCGAAGCTGTGGGATGCCAAGGAACCGAGGGCTGGGGGTGAGCCCAGAATCCTAAAGCTCGAAAGCTCGACAAGCTTAGCCGTGATGCTGCAACGTCTCATCAAAGTTGAAGCAGCCGACAACCCGAAACCCTCAACTCCGAATGTCCGAGACCTCAGCCAGGCAGGAAGACCTAAGACCCTAAACTTCACAGCCTCGCCTGGATTGTCCGAGTGTGAGCGCCTAAACTTCACAGCCCTAGACGTCCCAAACAACGGACCCAAAGCGATAAGACTCTGAACGTCCGCTTCTTCTCTGTAGCCCCAAACCTTGCAGTGAGTCCGAACTGAAAACCCAACGCAAGTGGGCTCTTGTTGAGGATTCAGTTTCAGTTACCATGATAGGGGTTTATAGTGAAATTATGGTAGCTTAGCTTAAATGCTCTAGCAAGAACTTAGCTAAGCTTCATGTTCTACGCGTGGGCACTGCAACCTGTCAGGCTTGTGCCCAGCCTCTTGGCCTGATCTTGGTGACCCTGCCGGTATAGGCGCCGCAGTAATTACCAAGACTACTATCCTGGGGCTCGTTCTAACAGCCATAGTACAGCATACTCTAGAATCCTATTCTAATTCGTAAGGCTGCTATACTACTCCTGCCCATGCTGCTTGCACCACCAACAGCAAGACGACGACGACCTAGAAACAACGGGGATCAGATGCACAACCCGACTCTGCCCACTATCCCCGGTACATACATACATACATATATATATATATATATATAGATATACATTTATACATATGTATAGATAGATATAGATTCTAGATACAGCACATTTCAGTGCATGTCGAAGCCTCAAGGGCTAAGTTCGCAAGTTCTGGGGCTTCACCTGTTTTGTGGTCCAAGACGGTTTAGGGTTTGGGGGAAGCCCTACTGCCAGAGACCTCCGCCCCTAAGCAGGTCGTCCCCCAACCTTTTGAGCATCAACACCTGGAGCCACAAGTTCGCATCGGTTAAAGGCCGTTTGGGGTTAAGGGCTTCGAGTTTTATCCCATCTGAAGCCGGCAGCGTCGTTTAGATTTTCCGTTGCTGTGTTGGCTTGTCTTGAGGACGCCTGTCTATGACACTGCTTCGTGTTAGCCGAACAAACTATACCTACTGCAATTGAGGACTGAGGTCGGATTTAAATTGCGACTATTTCCTGGTTTAGGCCTGTCTGAGCACGGCATCCCTGATCCCGAAAACTGCACACCCAAAGCACATACACGCTAACCTCAATTTTGCATTTCCCAGACGAAGCGGTAGCAACAAAACCCAGCCAGAATCCAGCTTTATTCCTGGTGTAGTGCACAGTTGTGGAAGTTGCATTCGCAGGGCTGCGTCGTTGCTCGATGATACTGTCATCATTTGCCAGCCAGGCGATGGCGAAGCCTATCACACCTTTGCGGTGTAGAGTATAGCACTATACTGTAAGGCCCCATAGTAGTTCCTGTTTGGGATTACCTTATACGATTCTATATATGAACCCCAAAACGGAACTACTTTGGGGCCTTAGGGTAGCACTATAAGTGTTCAGGAGTCAAATCCCAGAGTTCTTCCTGTCTCTGGCTCTTCTCACACTGCCCAAGACCATCAAGTACGGAATAATTCCTTGATCTCTGCAGCTGTAGGTCAAATCCCGCCACGCATGGTATCCTCAGACTTTAGCCCAAAAGGTTCAAGCATAAGCCCTAAAGCCCGCAACATTGCCCATCATAGGCTGACTTCAAAACGGGCTGCTGGGGTTTTGGACAAGCCCTACATGAGGTTCATTTCCATCCCCTGCCGGGGCAAGGGCTCCCTGAACATCTCACACGCGGTGGCCTTGGTGTTGTGCCTGAGCGGAAGTTGGGCCTTGCATTCCCTATCCCCATGGGCCCTATCACTCCTAAACCCTACCGAACCTAGCAGTACGGATTATCTGTAGTCCCTTGCAAGGACGTACCTTGCAGGGATCATACCTGAAGCAAAACATAGTCCGTTGAACCCGTAGGTTTTTGGACTGCTGGCAGCGTACGAATAGGTTTAGCTGCGAATCCGACACCCATTTCCTTATGTTTTGGAAAGTTTGGGAGTTGAGTCATCAACGAGACGATGTCATTTTTTGGGAGGGCGGGCATGGACTTGAAGGATCGTTGGGCCTACTTACAGGATTCCTCATCATAGGCATAAGTCTGGCAACAACAAGGCGAACCTCATGGGTAATTAGTAGGTATGACTCAAACATCAATGTCTGCAGCCCTGCTGAGCATTGAAGTGACGTGTAGGAGCTAGGTTGCAGACAAGACTGCTGAATTGGCGGCTCTGCGCAGGGACTGACATATCTGCAATTTTGATTAGGATGATGACATTGAGGATGGCGGTTTCTGTTGTGATGATGACGACGATGATGTCCAAGGCAGCTGTCAAACAAGGCATGGCAGCCTTGCGAGTTTATCAGTGTTCAGTACCCGTAAAGACAGTATAGTATGCCAGAGAACGGCTATTGCCTTGTGGAAAGCCCCTGAATGTAACCCCCGACACGTTTAACCACGAAGCCAACCGGAACCTTGATCTAAACCTCATGAGTCCCATAAGTCCTGAACCCTATGAGTCCGATAAATCCTATACCCTATGAGTCCCTCGAACCTTATACCCTGTATCCTACATCGCAAAACCTCAATCCAAGGTACGAGCGTGGCCGTCAACTGCGTGCTGACGCACGAGACTCTGGCAGCAGCCACATTGAGGGTTTTTGAGTTGAGGGCCGAAGGCGGTTAGGATTTACGATTTGGGGTTTTAGGGTTTATAGGATTTACTATTTGAGGTGTTAGGTTTATATAGATTTATATACGGTTTGGGGTTGGAGGGTTTATAGGATGTACGATTTGGGAAGATTTACGGTTTGGGGTTTTGGGGTCTTCGGACTTCAGGTCGCCACCATTGGATTGGATTGTCACGCCTGTGGTCGCTTGCCGTCGGATTTCTTTAGGGCTTAGGGTTTGGGGTTTAGGGTTTAGGGCAGTGGGCTTGTGTGCTTCTGTTGGTACGGATGCGACATGCCTGTCTATGATTTCTGGCTCAGCTTAGTAGCGTTTAGGCACTCGGTTAGTCATTGTGCTACCCGGCTGACATCGGACAAGTTCCTGACTGTATGGTGTTTGTGTGTTTCTCGCAAGTTCAATTTTGACTTATTTGGCTTCGCCAAGGGTCTCAGGACGAATTGCGACAGTCTTTCCAAGAAGACCTGTCGAGGGCTGTGCATCAACTTCTTGTCTTTGTCATCTAGGCAACAAGATACTTAATTGCCAGGAGTCTGAATAATCACCCAACACAACCATACTCCAGCTTTTATCCGGCCTCTGTCGTGTACGGGTGCAGATGCCCCTCCGTAGTTGCAAGGCGCGCGCTTGCGAGCATGACCTTTCCGAAGAACTTCTGGCAATGCGTGCACCGGCTGGCGGAAGTTGCGCAAGGTGCCGAACATTCGACGGGATACCAGATGACCAGATGCATACCTCTTGCAGAGCGCTGCCCAAACTGTTTGTGCAGTGCAGAAGTAAACGAGTAGTTACACATATGTTGTTAATTATATGTACATACACACAAAAAATGACGGTGTGTGAATATGTATACATACATACATACAGTACATTGGATTAGTGTTTCCTTTCTTTGTATCCTTTTTCTGATCTACTTGCCGCGTTGACTGTCCGCCGGAGTGGGTGCTCAGCATTGGATGACGCTGATCTGCATTGACGATGGTGTTGGACACCCACGAACACCAGTTTACCTTTCCTATCTATGAACCTCGTGTCTGTGCAGTTATGAAGACCCGTGAAGTCTGAGGTCAAAGGACTGTAGGGACGTGGGATTTGCTTCAGGTAGAAGACAAGCTTCTGTCTTGGTCTACTTTAGCTTGCCAGTGCGTGTCGGCTCCGTTGCCTTCCGTTATAACGGGCGAGTATATATACGACCTGGTTTGGGCGAAAAGCACCTCGTATTGCGGCCATGTCCTAAACATTGTTTTCCTCAGGTTGTCTTTCACCGTTAGAGCCTGTAGTCCAACTGATGCTGTCTACTATATTCGTTAGGGCTGATGAATGGACGACGAGGTTATATTTGTATATATATATATATAGATATATGTGTGTGTTCACCCCAGGGCCCCGTGACAGTGCAAATGCTTGAACTCAGAGAGCCTAATAACACTCAAGTTGCAGAAGGTTCCTCAACATCTAAGAAACCCCGAATGAGAAAATTTCAAGAGACGCCCTAGGACCTAGGACTCCAGGACAATTGAAAAACACCAATACTAGATGCTGAGCCCCGAGGTCTTCGAAAAGGAGTAAGTTGGGCTGCCCCGGAACTGCTTCGTTGTGCGAAGGCCCAGCGAGCTCAGCGAGACCGCGGTCCAGGGCAAGAGCTTGTGAGGTTCATAAACCGGAAACCAAAGATCCTTACAACCCCCAAAAAGCGGGATCAGCGCAAGTTAGACGGGCTTTGTGTCACCCTCGGTTGCCGGCGGAGACAACCAAAAGACATTGCGGAGTCTTGCTTGTGGGATTGCGGATGTGCTACATCCGAAAGTCTCTGACTTCTGAAGCCTAGTCCCGCTAAGCTCGGAGCGCTGATTACGAAGAACACGGCGCCTCGTCATGAAGTAATTGATATCGATGCCTGAACATTTAGTCAGACTGTGGTTTAGGATTCATTACCAAAATTATGCCTGAAGATGTCTCCAAAACATGCCACAACCTACTCCGTCTTCAGACCCCTATATAATTGTAGTATCGACCTAGCCCCATGTAGAAGGGTGTATGCTTCGGTGCTCTCTTGAGCTCCAACATATCGAAATGCTTGCAAACTAAACTTTCAATCTTCTGTAACTACGCTTTCACGATAGCTCTCTGTAACTACACTTCTACGATAGCTCTCCGTGAAAGATTTTGCGGGCTGCTAGTGTGATCTAAACCCTAACCCCTAAACCCTAAACCCCTAACCCCCCACAGCGGCCTTCGGCTGCCAGAAGTCCCTCAGAAAACGACGGGAGATGAACCGCTACTCATGGGCTTTGGAGGGCCAAAAAGGCTGTAGGATTTCGGAGCATGCTGCTTTATGCGGCCGTGCAAGTCGAGTCTGTTTTGCTGTCAGGGCGGGTCGAGAGGAATGGGTTAGGGTTTATGTTCCTTCTGGTTCGAGTCGCTGACTTGCAACCCAACGTTTGAACCCCATTAGCAAGACCACAACTACAACTGCAGCCAGAAAACGTATCGAAAATGTTTCAAAACAAGCTTACAGCTTCGCACTTGGGATATAAGATCCTGTCACCCCCCAATTAGAACCACTGCCCAGACACCCTGAGGTACTCGGACGAAGGGATCGAGACGTTGTCTAGACTCGCCCGGGGCTAAGGTCCTGCAATTTGCATGGAGGGTTGCACTAAGGCTGTCTGGAGTCTCGTAACCCTTTCACAGAAAGCTAGACCCCCAAACCCTAGTCTTGAACTTCGATCGCATTGTAAAATTTCCCGTGCCACTTTGCTGCGCAGGTCTCGCTGTATATAGCCATGCTGGAAGATTCTTGCATTTAGGGTTCAGGATTGAAGCGCCGCTCGGGCTAGAGTTTTGGACTTAATTTAATTCCGTCAGGGATGGTTAGGGTTCAGGGTGAGGGAGGGGGTCAATACTGTTGATGATAAACATCCTGCATTACCTTAAGGGCCCTAAACTATGGGAATTATGGTATCTTCTTTATTATCGGTAATGCAGGGTTTATATCATCAACCGTAGTCTTTGGTTGTCCGGGCTTCGATCTGCACGGTTTTGCATTTCGGTTTGGGTCAGGTGCTGCTGGATTCACGTCATGCTGTTCGGGTTTGAGGGGGTCGGGGTTGAGATGTTGTGGGCGGGGAGGCTGCCTGGTTCACCTTTTAAGGCTTATTGGTTTGGGGTAACCTGGCCTCAGTTGCGAGCAAGTTGCAGCAGGTCGACTGACGCAAACGAGTTTTAGAGGTTGACAGGCTTCAGGGTTTGGGAGAAAGGGTAGACTAGTTAGAACACGGTCGACAGAAGCTAGTCCTGAAGGACTTATTTAGGACTTGGGTTTTGGAGGTTGACTGGCTTCGAGGCCTGTAATAAACAGATATGGTGCAGGATAGTTAGAACAGAGTCGATGGATGCAAATCGTGAAGGACTTAATTAGGACTTGGGTTTTGGAGGTTGACGGGCTTCAGGGTTTACAGATAAGGGGCAGAATACTTGGATCAGGTTTGCAAGGGTACACTTGAAACTTCTTTCATGTGCGGTCATTGTATACCATAGCACAAACTGTGGAGGCTCCCGGTTTCCCAGTAGCCTTTAAAGGTGGCTTGTATTCCAGATGTTTAGGCCTTTAGTTAATGCTTAGGTGCATAGTTGTTGGCGGATCGAAACTCCACCGGATCCAGCTTAGACCCTGAGGGCCTTTTGTTTAGAATGGGTTTTCAGAAAGATTGCGGTCGTTTTTGTGGGGAGTTCCTGATATAAAGCCTCCCGTCTCTTGGGAGGTGTCACAGGGGGACTGAGGGTCCCCGATTTCCCAAACTTGCCAACGTCTCTCGTCTCTCCTTATTATTCCAGGCCATGCTGGCAACCCTTTCCGAACCAACCCTCTCAACCCTATAGTCTTGCGAGATCTAGACATGCTCAAGCAGTCAGGTGAAGCGAGTGATTTCGCGGATGGAGGCACGAACCTTCGGCTTGCCTGAGGATTTCACGGGCTTGTCTCCGGGCACGGAATCGGGATTTCTTGTGGGCGGGGGTGCTGGGTGCAGCGGAGGCGGGATCGTCTTTTGTTGTGCAGATGTACAGTTTGTTACGTGCTCAGGCATCTATACCAGGAGGAGCCGCTGTTCAATGTTCGATAAACGCGACAATCCATGCTCGTGCATGATGTACACGGTTGCCTTGGCCTGGCACAAAACCAATAATCAGGCTTCGTGAGTCACAATGCCACGTGAACCTGCTGCAGTTTAAGGCTTAAGGCTCGTCGTCGCGGATATTATCTAAGGTCGAAGGTTCGTTCTTTCAGTATCAATTCTTGTTCGTCAATGCAAAAATTCGCATAGTCTTCACACCTGAAATTCGAGCAGACCTTCCAATGCCTAGAACCAACAAGCTTGCAAGATGTGCGAGGAGCCATCGAACGTAGACACACTTCGGCCGGTTCTGTTTCATGGCATTCGGACTCCAATTAGTCTGTGCCAATGGAGAGGGGCAATGCAATCGCATCGGAATTCTCTATGCACACATACTTCAGAGGCTTAGAACCGTGTTAGCATATAGGGTGCTTTGCTCTTGCAGTCAGAAAAAAGGAGTGTTTTCGGCTTCTAGATGACCCTGTATAGTGTTGTCAACGTGCAATTGCTTGAATTCGCCAAAGCTTCTTGTTTTTGGGCGTTTGTTCCACGGTGCCTTGCTGAGCAATGCTTACACCCTTTCGCAATCTCTCTGCCAAGTTTGACTGATTGTCGTTCAGACATCGCGCGGACGCACCCACCTTTGCAGCCCGAAGTTCTTGAACCCGAAACGCGGAACCGCGGATGTCGGGTATGTCCAATTTCTGCCCTCGTACTCACACCTCGCCACTTGTGACACGATGTTGTCATCGCGCTTCTACAACACTTGAGATGTTTCGGTGCGCGGTTGGGTCATCCCACATGACATCTGGTCTGTCGACCGTACTTAAGATTTGGGTTGTTGGGAACCGCAGGGAATGCGTGGTTCTTTATGCATCGAGCTAAAGACTGCTGCAGAACGTAGCCGTGGCTTTAGCCGCCGATGTGGGCCAATACTAAAACCCTACTTTAAACACCTTGAAAGCCAATATGACGGATGCTTGCAGATCTGGCTTTCAGTGGTATCAAGCAAGCAAAAATGCGGCTGCAGCATGGTGGAAACAATCTTCGTAGAGGTACGACAAATCGACGTCGTTGTAGTTGCACCATGAATCCTTGGAGGAACTGCGGATGCAGTGAGTATGCAGTGGATGGCTTACTTATAAACTTAGTTTTTCATGTTGTACTCACCGAGTGCCCCGATCCTACAAACAACCTCCAAATGTTTCAATTGCGCTTCACTGCGGAATTTGTCAGTTGAGCTCCGACCGAACACCCCCACCCACTCCTTGACATGATGCACAGTGTTCCGCTGTTTGTGCATGAGGCTTATACTTTCTGAGCTGGGATTTTGGGCCTGCTAGGGGGGCAGTGCGTCAACAGGCCTTTAACACCTTGGGTTCTATGTTTAGATTCAGCCTTATATACATTGAATAACGAATAGTGCGTACTTCCGGCTTGTCAGGACCCCGTTCTGATTTTGGACTCATACTAAGGACGTTTTGCTTTGAATCCAGGATGGAGGGGTTCATACATAGGATGCCA